GGTGTGAGGAACCTGGCCTGGGCACGGCCCCCAGCACTAGAGAAAGCCTTGCCTAGGACTCACACTGCAGTCCATCTCAGGGCCCGGGCACTTTTCACAGACCAGCAGCTGCTCTGGATGCTTTACCCACATCCCTAGCCTTTTTGTTATTCTTTCATTTTTGACACAGTCTTGCTAAATTGCCCAGGCTGGGATCCAACTGCAACTCTCCTGCCTCAGCCTCCCACAGTGCTGCGGTTTATAGGCATGTGCCACCATGCCCAGCTCTGCCTTTCTTTCTGGGGACTTTTGTACTATATGTGGTTGTAATAAACATAGGGTAAAGGATGATTCACGTAGGGTATCTCTGAAGTTCCCCCAAAGCACTGGCCCATGAAAAAGGGATTCAGGTGGAGATAGCACTTGGAAGATATTTTTATGTATATCTTTGTGTATTCAGAGTTTTGAAGACAATGTTCATGTATTAGTTTCTAGCAGAAAAGTTAATGTAAAAATCTCAGCACACCAGGTTATTTTGGTAAACACTAAAGTTTGCAATTAGAATTTATAAATGGTAATTGAAACAAACATAAGCTTCAGGGTCCAAAATATTTCTGTATTTCATTTAGATTGGATAATATTTTTTTTTGTCTTTTTCGTTTTTATCGGTACCACGTTAAAACTCACGACTACCTGCTTGCAAGGCAGGCGCTTATGACTCTGAGCTAAATCCCCAGCCCCAAGATTGGATAATATTAAGAACAACCTCAAGAGAGTAGTATTCTGTTCACTGATCGGCAACTACACACATTCAAAAACTTTAAGCAGGCATAAGGATAACTACTTCCTGTAAAAATGTAGACAGATGGAGAAGTAGATGATACCAGAGTGGCAGGAAGTTGACAATTATTGGAGCTGGTGGGAAGTATAGGTGGGCAGTTTGGTATCTGGTTGTTACTCCTTTGTTTCAAAATGTCTACAATGAGGGATTGGGAATTTAGCTCAGCGGCATAAGCGCCTGCCTTGCAAGCAAGCAGTCATGAGTTCGATCCCCAGTACCAATAAAAAGGAAAAAGACCAAAAAAACCTGTCTAAAATGGTTTTAGAATTAGGTCACAAAAATAGTCAACAACAGCTCACAAGCTTTACTATAAATGTCAGACAAATACTGAAAAGTTACAAAGCTCTACCCACAGAGCTCTATAAACCCCAACCTCTCTCCCTGAGATGTGACAGTTCCCTTTGATGTACACCTCCCAGCCCAGCTTTGCTATGTGTTCATGTGGGCTCAGCTCACTGAGCTGGGATTTCACAGTCACCAGAGGAAGATTCTTCCTAAGGAGACAGCAGACCCCTAAATTTTTAAAAGACCAATGTGGAGGTACAACCTAAGTAATGACATGATTACAATTACTTCCAATGTATGCTCAAAAATGACAGGGAAAATGGAATACTGATGTCTACAGACCAAAAACAGGTCAGCCAATGACAGATATTAACTGGTGAGGGTCCTGATGCATTTAGATGTATTGAAATTTTTTTTGTTTCCATTATATGATTTTAAATATATTTTGGAAATGAAATTCAGTTTAAACATTTATTCCATCCCAGAAGCACAAGGCCCTTTAAAAATCGTTTCAGACACTTTGGTAAAATGGAAGGCAGGGAAAAATACCATCTTCTTTTCTGTTTCTCTAGTACCAAATACAATGATTTGATGAATATTCTTAACTGAAGCTATGGAAAAATTGATTTCTAGGCCCTAAAGCAATCTTTTTAGAAGTTCTTCTCTGTTGACTTTTCTGAGTACATAGTCTATCCCCACTATAAGCAATTCAATTTTTTTTTTGTTTTTTTTTTTTGTTTTTGTCTTTTCTTTTTTATCGGTACCAGCGATTGAACCCACGACTGCCTGCTTGCAAGGCAGGCGCTTATGCCGCTGAGCTAAATCCCCAGCTCCATAAGCAATTCAATTTAAAAATGTTTAATTAGAAAAAAGAATTCCACAGTTCCTCAAACTTTTTCATTTGTCTGAGTATAAACTATGTCTGCAAGAATTTTTTGACTTTCCAGAATACGATCATATAATCTATATAGTTTTGGGAACTTCTCCTTTTGCTGAAACAGATATTTAGGACATCTTTTCTCTCATTGTACAGTCCATCTCCTTCTCTATGAAAGCAACATGGTGTAATTTAATCCACCTTCGACGATTGGATATTTAGACTACTTTCACTTTTTAATACTGTATATAATGTTGTAATATTTTTACAGATATCTTTGCCTTCTTGTATAAGTATTTTAAATTTAAATGTTGCCTAAAAGCTACATATACACAGCTTAAAGCACATACTACTAGCACATATTCCTTTTAAGTAGACATTTGCTCTGTTTTCTATCCCCCAACTCTCAAAGGAATTGTTAAACCTCTCTGAAAATGCGTGACTTGTTTGTTCCCCTCAAAGGCATTCTGGGAGGTCCTTTTCTCCTGGTCTGAATGGCTATGTTCTAGGGCTTCTGCACCCCCACCCCCACTCCCCACTGAAAGGGTTTTGGCCCAGACAGGACACTGTAGCCAGGAAAGCCTCAACCAGAAGCAGGAAGTCCCTATCTCCCCCGCCCCTAGGAATTTACCTATGACACCATCTTCCCGCTCCTGAAAATTTACATATGGTGTGAAACCTAGGACCAATGGGCTACCTGTGCATCCCTAATGCCCGCCCTAGGTTCCACCCCAAACCAAGGCTACTTACATACCCCCATGCCACGTGTCCGCCAGAGAGATCGCCAGTCGCCAGCGGTGGAGGGTGCCGGGCATCTCTCTCCGTGTTCTCAGAATAAAGGCCACTTTTTATTTTATACTTCTCATTTTTTGGAAATATTCTTCATCTTTTGGAAATAATCCTATCATTTGGTGCCATGACTCGATTGGCAGGCGATTGACTCCTGGGACACACCCAGTTGAGTCTCCTAGCCGATAACCCGATAACATCCTGGATTAATTCCAAGCTTTTTCCTCTCCCAAGACTCCCTTGTCACCAGTCGCCTGCACTCAGCATTGGCCAGATTGATTTCAGGTGAGCACTACCTGGGTAACTTTTGGCACTGGGCAGCCCCAGTTGACTGTTCTCCCCATTCACATGGGTCTGTGCATTTTCACGTCCTTAGGACAGCCCAGGGCAGGGTTCTTTCTGGGCTAACTGTGTCCACACTCTATAAAATCTCTCATGTTCTTTGGGTTTGGATAGCCCAAAGCAGAGATTTTTGGACCGCCCACACTGAAAGGACCACCTCATTTCCCTTCAAGCCTCAAGCTTTTAGGGGCAAAACTCTTACTGACCCCACATGGGCTCCACTTGTAAATCTCTCAGTGATGACTGGAATATATGAGTTTTTGGAACTGTAGCCACCATGTGGTGCCACAAACGAATGACGGCTTGTTCTGGACCACTGGGTTATTTCTTGCCTGAATCAGTCATGGGAAACATATTTTCTAACTCCCAAAAGACGCCTTTACAATGCCTAATTTCCAATTTACATACTCTAAAAATGAAAAGTACCATAAAAACTAAACAATTAACTTTTTACTTCCAGGAAGTCTGGCCAACTTACCTGCTTATCGGCAAGCATTGGCCCAAAGAAGGAACATTTGACCCCTGCATTTTCAGGAATTTGTATGATTTCTGTCAAGCCGGCAACAAGTTATTAGAACTCCCTTATATTCAGGCCTTTCTTATTCTGAGAACACGCCCATCTCTCATTAAGTCTTGTGCTCCCGCTGAGATACTTTTAGCTAACTCTACCACGCCACAAACTTTTCCGTCCTGCCCTCAGGATTTGCTTGAGGACATTCCTCCGGTGTTTTCCCAGCCGCCGCCTGCCTACCCCCAAACTCATTCCCTGCCGTTACCGCCTGCCGGACCGCTCTCCCCTCCCCCTATGCCTGATTCTCTCAGCAGTCCTGGTCCTAATAAGTCGCAGATGCTTCCCGCTGTGCGATCATCTCCCTCTCCGCCTTCCGGGACCCATAACTCTCCCAGCAACTCTATCACTCTGTTAGCGTTTCCTCAAAGTCTCCAATTTCTTGTTCTCCTGAGAATTCTCTATCCCCTACAGCATTCTCACCGCCCACCCACCATACTAGGTCTCGAATCGCTATGTCCTTCCAGCAGGCTGCATGACTGTTCCAGCTTGCGCCGGGAACAGTCACTATGTTGCAACCCTCTGCCACGTGGCATGGTGTGGCCATGTTCAGGAGGGTTACATGGCGACAGGGCACCGTCATGTTTTGGGCCACATGACAGGGCACCACCATGTTCCCAGGAACCTCACTGTCAATGGGCGCCCCCTTGTGGCTCCTCTTGTGAACTGCAACAGCCGCCCTGTTGCAGTATACATGATGCTTCATTGTGCTGCCAACAGCAGTCCTCTCCTGCAAGGCACACAGTGAGACTCCATCTGCCTGTGTTTCCCAGGGTGACCGGCAGGAACTCTGTAGCCACTCTACAGATGATTGCTCACACGCACCTACTGGACGGATGGCTGCCCAATGGCCCTTTGCTCCGGAATCTTCTCCTCAGGCTCTGCTACCACTTCAGGAGCAGAAGCCAGCACAACCTGGGGCCTCCGCTCTGGCTCTGGCTCTGGCTCTGGCTCTGGCTTGCGCAGCCATGAAGCCAGGCCTTGCTGGAGCAAGTGCTGGGAAATGCCTGAGAAAAGCACTGGATCATCAACATCGACACCGACAACTTCGAGGAAACAATGCTTTGAAATGGCTGAGGAAAAATTATTTCCCAGCCAAATCATCCATCACTTAAGAGTGGAACAAAGCCTTTTAGAAACATTTGATGTCTGAAAAAATGTATCTTCTTCACATCCTTGTTTAGGAAGCAGTTACAAAAGGAGTAAACAAGCCAATAAGAGAGAAACATAGGATACATCCACATTCAAGGAGTGGAGAAAAATTCCTGGCTGGTGGGTGATAGGATTATTTCCAAAAGATGAAAAATATTTCCAAAAGATGAGAAGTATAAAATAAAAAGCGGCCTTTATTCTGAGAACACGGAGAGAGATGACCGGCACCCCCCACCGCTGGCGACCAGCAATCTCTCTGGCGGACACGTGGCATGGGGGTATGTAAGTAGCCTCAGTTTGGGGTGGAACCTAAGGTGGGCATTAGGGATCCACAGGTAATCCATTGGTCCTAGGTTTTGCGCCACATGTAAATTCCCAGGGGCAGGAAGATGGCGTCACAGATAACTTCCTAGGGGTGGGGGAGATAGGAGCTTCCTGCTTCTGGTTTCCTGCTTTCTTGGCTACAGTGTCCTGTCTGGGCCAAAATCCTTTCATATCCCATCTTATGATTATTATTATGAAAAAGGGCAAAGATTTCTCTAACTACTTCCTGCTGGCAGAGGGCACTGTACTGGAGCCTAGGGGAGTCGACAGGATGAAGGTTGATGCCCATGTAGACGCTGGTGCCACGTGTTTTGCCAGGACAACTTCACTGGTGAATGCACGTATGTTAGACTGGAAAAACAAAGAGACAAGATGTTATAAGGAGACATAGCACTGTCATATTTAAGGAGCCAGGTGAGATCGAGGGAAAGTGCCTTTGACTTAGACATGTCATTCTATCAGGACCATGTTGAGGTAGAAACATTTTCATGGTAAGGCAGAATTCTGAAAATTAAACGTGGGGTTAGGAGGAGTGGAGTTATGAGAGGTGCTTACTCCCCCATCTGAAAGCATAAAAGTTAAAAGGTAGGTTGGTAAGGCTTGTCTCTGGTATGCATGATGTTGGAGTCTGTAGGCAATACTGTTAAAGAGTCCTGCTGTAAAAATGATCATTAATAGAATGTAAGAAATTAGGAACCAAAGTGGATAACAAAACATGACTTAGCCTGTTAACTGTGGCTGCGAGGTCTTTGTGAGACAGAGACGGGTGGGCAACAGACGATAAGATGACCATTCAGACTGATCAGATTTAGGGCTGGAAGGGCACCTCTTAGCCTGAGTGATGTGAAACCAGGATGGCAGACTAGCAACTTTGATTTAGGCATGGGTCACTGTAACCTGGTTGTATCAGCAGTTTACCTGGTTGTGGGAAAGGCTTTTATGTATCCTGAAAAAGTATAAACAAAGTGAGAAGACAAAATGTATCTGTCAGTCTTGACCAGGGTTGTCTGACAAATTGGTGAATAAGAAAGGAAGGGGGTGGTCTTATATCACTGAGGAGAGATCCACCAGCGACAACAGGTGGAAGCTGCTGAGGCCTCAGTGTGTCTAAGTGAGCCTGCATAAACACAAGGGAGTGAAAGCATTTTAAGATTTAGGACTGGGACCTGCACAAAATAGGCCCTGTTTATAAATGGTATAGGTTGACCATCAATACCCCATCATAGAGACTGAGGACTTAATGTAGCAGCCTGAAAACTCAGGAAGAACTCTGTATATATGGCCTATATGTTCACAAATATAGAGAATGTCTTACCTGAGAGTTTTAGTGGAACTTGGACTCCGAGATTGACACCCACAAAGGGGGCTGTTGGCCCTGAGCCCCCTCAGTCTTTGGCAGCAATTTTTTCAGCAATGAATCTGGCAGTGTCAACATTTCCTGTGAGGGCTAGAAGTTAGGATGGCTTGGGCTGGGGATTTAGCTCAGCGGCATAAGCGCCTGCCTTACAAGCAGGCAGTCGTGAGTTAGATCCCTGGTACCGATAAAAACGAAAAAGACCAAAAAAAGAAAACAAAACAGAAGTTAGGATGGCTTACCCACTCTTTGGTGGCTAGGACAGTCCAGCAGCCCTGGTGTAAGGTCTCAAAGAATGCCAGGATGGGGCATTTTGTTGTCCAATGTCTTCTGCTGCATTTGAGCATGGTCCATGGGGAGGCCAGGCAGCTCCACCTTGTGTAGGTTTACCTGTCTCAGAACTCCAAGTGTCAAAAGTGTTAAAAATATGAAAAACCATATTAAGATCTCTCTAAGGTCTCAAGGTCAAGTTTTGCCTTTTTGTTTGGGATTTGGACTACAATAGAATTAAGTAGAATATAATCTCATTTTAATGGAAACATTTTGTAGTAAAGGTTTACCAATCTTATGAATAAATCTATGAAAACTGATCTAATACTTTTAAATTCTGAACACATTTACTTTTTTAAAACTGTTATTTGCAGTAGTATGAACCAAGATAAATAAAATTTTAACAAAACTCTTGTCTTGGAACAGAGCTAGTGGTTTCCAGCAAAAAGGAATTTATAACCTTAGTTGTAAAACAGGAGATTGGTCAAGGCTTTGATTGATAAACAAGGCTGGTAAAATTATCAGGTGGCCAATAACCTTGATTAAATGGTTTGAGAATTGTAATAAAAAATAGCATCTTTTGAGTGGAGCTGAATTGTAAAAAAAGCATGCCTGAGCAGAGCTGCTGAGTTGTTGTTTCGCGGCGTGCCGGCAAAGCACGCCCAGTGTGGGGGTGGGGCGAGCGCCAGGACGTAGTGTGCAGGGGCAGGCTGGGACTGCCCCCAGAAACACGTAAGGCGGCAGCAATAATGACGGCGCACAGGGGAGGCAGGGGCTGGGAGGTGGCCTGACACAGCACACGAAGCTGGAACAGCTCGCAGGGCGCGAGGATTAGAAAGCCAATTTAGGAACACAGCTGGGTTTTTATTAGCCTCCTGGACCTGTTTTAAAAGTTTGTTATCGTTTGTTTGTCCTGTTCTGGCACAGGTATAGGCCCAGGGTCATTATCAGCAATGTTTACCTTATGTCTGTGACCAGCTTCGTCTTGAGCTGCCTGCCACAGCTGATTTTGTTCTTGTGAGCTGAGAGTGGTATTTAGAATCACATAGACATCCTTAAAATGTAAATCATAACAATTAGTAATGAATTCAAATTGCCTGGTATAATTCTGTGGGTCAACAGAGAAGCTACCTAATTTATGGGCAATCTGGGATAGATCAGAAAGGGAAAAAGGCACATGGATGTTAACAAGTCCCTGCAGGCTAGGCTTGCACACCTCAAGGTTTCTGGTTGGAACTCTGGGCTGTTTATTCCTTCAGTCACTTCTATCGAAGGCAATAGCCAGTGATAATATATGCTGTTACCTATTCGAGGCCGGCCTGGACTCGCACTCGGGATCCTGCGGTGGTCTACAGTGCCATCGCTCTGGGATGCCGAGGCAGGTGGAGGCGAATCTGAGCCAAGTCTTGGCATTTAGTGTGACCTAGGCTCTAAGATCACCTGGGAAGGGCTAGGGGTGCTTGAGAGCCAAGTCCCTGGCTTCAATCCCAGTACTGAAAAATGACATGGGGCTGGGGATTTAGCTCAGTGCATAAGCACCTGACTTGCAAGTGTGCGGTCGTGAGTTCAACCCCTGGTACCGATAAAAACAAAACAAACAAACAAAAAACACTTTACCATGGAAAAAACGACATGGGGGCTGGGGATTTAGCTCAGTGAAAACCCAGGTGAATGGGCTGAGCAGTAGCCACGGCCTTCTCCGGAGGGAAACTTGAGTTTTCCAGCGCTAAAGTTCCAGTACTAAAGTTGACCCAAGTCTCAGTCAAACTTGGATCCCTATAGTTAGGTAAAAAGTGAAAGATTCTTGCCCTAGAATAAATTACTGTAGGGTTATGGCGGGTGGTCTAACATGGCAGAAGGCCAAAGCAGGACACCTACCACCTCCAGCTTCTTCCTCCGCCTTAATTGCAACTCCCCTTCCTGTTTGTGCATCAAGAAGACTCCAATCAGCTGCTCCTACATCAGCAATGCCCGCCCTAAGCACCACCCCCGTCAGATGTTATATACAGATCTCACGCCAGTGTTCAGGTAAAGCAACGAGACCTTCTATGGTCATGGACTCCTCTCCACCTCCTTGGAATAAAGGCTATTTTTTACTTTATACTCTCTTTTATCATGCTGAAACTTTCAAAAATATGAATCAGAGCATCCAGCAGGCAATAGGGAAAGCACATAAGAGTTTGTCTTGAGAAACAAAGGAACCAATCAACCTGTGTGCATGTGTGTGATTTTTCATTAACTCATTTTCTTTTCCATTTTGGTACTGGGGAGCAAACTCACAACCTTGCGCTTACCAGGCAGGCACTTGAATCACTGAGCTAAATCCCCAGGTGTTTGACAGCTGGTAGGTGACCATGATGTATCATGGAGAGATGCTTTCCTGGTTATGACCCTTTGAAGTGCTATATGCCTTGCTTGCCTGTATGTCAAATGCTTTCCCCATACATGGAAAGTTTTCTGCTATTATTTAAAGCAGGTTTTTAAGTGTCATTTGTGTTATCTTCTGATTTTTCACTAATTCCAATTTTACTAATTCTTTTTGTATCATCTGTAAGCTGTAGGATTCATCTTCCATGTTTTTGTCTTCAGGTGTCTCTGAGTGTATGGTCACATGTGTCAGCCCTGCATTCTATCTGTGACACTGGTAAGCAGCTGTCAGCCTACCGGTGTGCAGGCTAAGAATCAAACATCCCACTTTTCTCTCCTCTCCGTTAGCAAATGGGAGCCAGAGGGCTGAGCATCTCTTGGGAGGATGACCATATGCAATATAGCAAATATGGGGATTTTTTTCTATCATCTCTTTGAAGGCAAATATTATGACTGTTTTGCTTTGTTTTGATTAATCGTATTGCTCTATTTAATACTCTATTTTGATAGGTTTTATGATGCTCTTTATTTGATTTGATTTTGCTGTACCTAATTGAAAGGACAATTATTGTGAAGATAACGAGATATACTATGGTACCTATTACTATTATCCCGGTAACCTGCTGTGAAGTTCTGTACCAATTTCACTGCATTGTCTCGATTGGCTTTATTCTGTCTTGTACTGTTGTTTTTTACTACCTTCAAAATAAAACAAAAAAATGGAGGGAGTAGGGAAATGGGAAATGTATGCATTTTTTTTTTGTCTTTTTCCTTTTTATCGGTACCAGGGATTAAACTCACGACTGCCTGCTTGCAAGGCAGACGCTTATGCCACTGAGCTAAATCCCCAGCCCCCGGGAAAAGGGAAATGAAAGAAGTAAAATTTGTAAACTAAATAAAAGGAAGGGGCTGGGGATTTAGCTCAGCAGCATAAGTGCCTGCCTTGCAAGCAAGCAGTCATGAGTTTGATCCCTGGTACCGATTAAAAAAACAAAAAGAAAAGGAAGATGAAGAGGAGAGAAAAATGATGTAAAGGATTTTACTAAAGAATAGAAAATTAGCCATGGATATAGCTCTGCAGTACAGTACCTGCCTGACAACTGTGAAGTCATGAGCTTGATTCCCAGAACCAAAAAGAAAAAAAAGAATAGAAAATTAGTAGAATTACATAAGAGCAACAAAAAAGGACAAACAAGAAAAGGAAGGAAAAAAGAAAGAAAATTTAAAAACTCAAAACAAAGTTATACAGTAAAAGAGAAGAGAGTCCAAATAATTCCTCCATGCTTCTGAGAATGGCTTCTCCCCAGGCTCTGCAGCATTAGACTCCACCGACCCTGGGGGTGTGGGGAGCAGTGAGTCACTAGGAGGAACCCCTTGGCCTCAGCACTCCAGTTCTCATCTGTTCTCCTTTCCTGCCGGGCTGGTCCTCTACTCTCACCCAAGGGCTCGGCTCACTCTGGCCACTCCTGGCTCTGGGTCCCTCTGTGTCTCAAGTCACAGCCTCCTCTGTCTTGCCTGATGGCCTGTTGGTCTGTGATGTGCTCTCTCTGCCCCAGGGCAGCTGTCTGGTGCCCCAGCTGTGGCCACCATGGGAGCCTAGCCATGTGCATCCCAGCATCTTAGTGACTTCTTATGTCACCAGGACACAACACTCAGCACCACAGCTCTTAGGAGGTTTGTGTGGCTCAGTCTGTGGAGGTTTTAGCCTCCACAGCTGGCTGTCTCCCAGGCAGGGTGGTAGGAACTGAGAGGGCAAGGGAGGAGGGGAGAGAGGAAGAGGGAGGGACCCGTTCCAGCCACTCCCTAGTAGAACATCTGGAGGAATCTTAATGGAGACTGAAAGATACCAAAGCCTCATAGTAATAGAAACATGCTATAATTTGCTCTTATTATGATGCTGCACAGAATATACTGAAGACTAACTGCAATAGCTGGTATAGTTGTATCCCATAGCCCACAGGTTAAAGGGACATCCCTGGGTAGCACTGCTGGGCAGTGGTAGCACATTTCAGAGATGGTACCGGCGAGAGGTCTTCAGGTCACTGGTAGATGCCCTCGCTGGGACTGTGAGACTCTGATTTCTCAGTCACTTCCATTTCAGGCTTGATATATAAATATTTTATTCCATTGTGTGTTTCTGTCAAGATGTACCACACTACCTAGAGGCTCAAAGCTCAGGGGTGCCTAAGGTTGGACTGGAAACTATAGAAGCATACACCAAAATAAATATGTTCCCTTGTAAGTTAATTGTCTCGTGTTTTTTGTTACAGTAACAGAAAGCTAATAATTTTAGAGATTCATAATGTTGGTAAGAATGTAGTTTTAAGGTAGAAAGTAATTAGATTAAACAATCAGAAACTTCAGGGAGTAGTGGCACATGCCTGTTATCCCAGCACTTGGGAGGTTGAGGCAGAAAGATTGTTGTGAATTCAAGACCAACCTGGGCTACAAAGTGAGCTCAAGGCCAGCCTGAACTACATACTGACACCCTGTCTCAAAAAGACAAAAAAAAAAAAAAAAAAAAGATGAGAGCAAACAATCAGAAACCATTTCCTCAAAACTTAAATATCGGGGGGTGAGGATTTAGCTCAGCGGCATAAGCGCCTGCCTCACAGGCAGTCACAAGTTCGATCCCCAGTATCAATAAAAAGGAAAAAGACAAAAACAAACAAAAAAACTTAAATATCAAGGAAGCCAAAATCAATAATTATTACCTAACTTTGCTTATAAAGTATCTATAGAACTCTGCTAAACTTGGATAGATTACTGGCAAATGCTAGAGTATTACCTTTTCCAGTGTCCCAGAAGCTGTAAATTGTATTTCATTGAGGAACTATAATGAAATCATGGAGTGAGATCATGTTTCCTAAGGGTGCTTTATTATCGGCTGTTCTGGTAACCTGTAAGTTTAATGCCTGGCCCAAACTTCAGCCAGTGGAAAGCATTGGATTATTTCGGTGCAAACGCTGTTCACACCTCTTGCCCTCATAATTGACAGGAAAAAAGGGAACCTAATTCAAGAGCTGTGTAAACTGCAAAGATCCGCGAGGCCTCCATGTGTGGGACTATGGACTAATAGCGCCCCCTAGTGGTCAAAGTGTTGACAGCTTGCTGCTTGGCTCCTGAAGATGATAATTTTACTGTCGTGCGTCCATTGCTGAAAAGGTAAGGAGTTAAACACCATAGGAAAAGATCAAAAAGACTGGGCTGGGGATTTAGCTCAGCAGCATAAGTCCCTGCCTGGCAAGTGCGAGGTCGTGATTTCGATCTCCGGTTCCACACACACACACACACACACACACACACACACACACAAGAAACCATAAAGACAAAGAACAAAAAGATTAAAGCCTTTACTGAAGGACTTAATGTTTCTACAACTGCACTCCTGAAAGGAATTTGTGGGTGCTCTTTCATAAAAAGTTCTTTGCAGAAATCTATCTAACCTCAGGGATCTCACAGAATAATGCAACCAGCAAGCTGGAGTTAATTCCTTTCAAGCACAAACAGCTCAGGCAGATTAAGAAGTCTGGTGAATGGAGGTTAAATGAGAATGTACTTAGAAAATGAAAGAGGGGTGGGAAAGAGGCAGGGAACTGGGTGAGAGAAAGAGATACAGAGATAGAGGAGAGAGACAGAGAACTATTTCCATGTCAGCATGCCATGCATCTGACACTGTAGAGACAGAAAACTGATAATATTTCCTCCCTGCTGCAAAAGCCTCATGACACAAGTAAAGAGATAAATGAGTAGCTATAACGTGTAAAATAGTGACAGAGGTGGATAGAGTTGGAAAGGCCTGTGGCCACTGCAGAGAGACACCTTGGAACTTCAGACTGAGAAGCTTGAGCAAGCTTGTTGGCCAAGATGACCAGCAGTGGGAATAAACCAGCTTTGCAATAAGAGGAATGTAAAATCAGGAAGACTGACTGCCTTTAACAGCTTATGGCAGGGTTTCAAGACTTAGCCAAGAAAAGGCTGAGAGTTAAATGACAGAGATGTAATAATTTTTACTTATTTTTCTTATCTTTCTAAAAAGAGAGGATATGATTCCTAGAAAATATCACCAAGCAGGGGCTGGGGATTTAGCTCAGCTGCATAAGCACCTGCCTTGCAAGCAGGCTGTCGTGAGTTTGATCCCCGTTTCCAATTAAATAAATAAATAAATAAAGTTAGGCCTAATCCAAAGGGACTGCTGCTTTTATAAGACACAGAAGACACAGTGAGAAGATGACCATCTAGGAGACAGGAAAAGTTCTTCACACTTTCACCCTAGCCATCCCAGACCGCCCTTCTGTGGGATTAAGTCCAATTTGACTGATACAAGGGGACCGGGGCTGGGGATTTAGGTCAGCGGCATAAGCACCTGCCTTGCAAGCAGGCAGTAGTGAGTTCGATCCCTGGTGCTGATAAAAATGAAAAAGACCAAAAAAAAAAAAAAAAAAAAAAGATCACCAAGCATCACAGATAAACTAATTTAACAGACCCATTCACTTAAAAACATATTGTAGTAGACAAATTACTTTTCTCTTGTTGCTGAGACAAAATACTCAACACCCAAAATTAAAGGGGGGAGGTTTGTTTAGTTCACAGTTTGTGGAGGTTTCAGTCTGTAATCAGCTGAGTCCCAGGTAGGGTGGGACATGGCAGAGGGGAACAAGTTCATGGAAGCAAAAGACAGCAAAAGCAACAGAGCAAAGAGCAGCAGGCCTCTTTCCCTCCCTTGTATTTTATGCAGGCTACCTGCTGGGAGTTGCTCAGGTGCAGAGCCAGAAGCACAAGCACCAGAATAGGAGCACACCCGAGGGCAGGGAGTACCTCGGAAATGCCCTGAGGGCACAGGGTACTGGAGGTGAACAGGTATTCCAGCCCCAAGAACACAGAGAATACAGGGGAAAGAAGTGAGCTGATTCAGCAGAGGTGCACAGTGTGACAAGTGTGTAAATAAATGCACTGCAGGGGCTGAGAAGTCTCTTCCTCCTGGGGGGAGAAGGGCTCCCCTGACCCCAGCTTTCTGTCTTCATTTTCTTCATCCTCTCATCATTCTTCCTCTGGGAACTTAAGGGAGCTCTTGAGACACTAACAGCTTGCTACCCTAGAGTGGGTGTAGCACTTGCACCCTCAAATCCCAGCACTAGACAAGGAATCAATCACAAACTAGATCCACTGCATGTGGAGAGCCCACTCCCATGACCATATGAGGCTGTGGGGGAACATCAAGAGACAAACCATAACATGTATAAAACATTTACTTTTTAAAAAGTTTGTAAATTTCTGCATGACTTTTACAGAATGATGTATATTTTTAAACACATTTTTGTTAGGAACTTAAGCACATTATCCACGACATTTTTCTTTTCTTTTTTTTTTTTTGTCTTTTTCCTTTTTATAGGTACCAGGGATCGAACTCACGACTGCCTGCTTTCAAGGCAGGCGCTTATGTCGCTGAGCTAAATCCCCAGCCCCGACATTTTTCATATATAATCAATCATCACTGGAAAGGTTGGTAAACTTTTTTCCATTTATCACATAAAAAAAAAAAAAAAAAAAAAACAAACATTCACATGAGAAACACTTGTGCCTTGAGCAGAGTTCTGCTACCTTTCTAGCTGAGAGGGGATCAGAGTCCCAGGGCTGGAAAAGTGAGCAGACCAACTGAGGACTTGATGGGAAAGGAAAATGCCTAGTAAGTGAAAGCTTTTCTTGGAAATTGCGTCACTGAAATGAACACTTCCTCAGCATCATTCCACCTCTTTTACTTTAGGATAGCTTATTTGTTGTTATTCCTTATTTTGTTTGTTTTGTTTTGTTTTTGAAACAGGGTCTCACTATGTACCCTAGGCTGACCTCGAACTCAAAGTGATCCTCCTGTCTCAGCCTCTCCAGTGCTGGGATCACAGGAGTAATCCTAGAGCCTAGATGTTCCTTTTTCCTGTATAGTGACTGAGCCCAGGGCCTCACACAGGTGAAATACGTCTACCCCTGAGCTACTCCGACCCAGCCTTGCCGTTTCTTTAAAGGCTGCTCTTTAACTTTCACAGAGCAAGTGTAATCCTACCCCAAAATATCCTACTGCAGTGCAGAAGTGGATCTAGTAAGGCATTCACTCCGAAAGAACAAGGTAACTGTGTACTTACAGGAAGATGGCTTTGTTTTTGATACATCTCTACAAAAATAATAAGTAAGCGGAGTCAATCTATTTTTGGAAGACACAATTGAACATATAGTCTAATAACAGTACAGAAGTATCAGAAGTATAATTTTAAAAGCTATAAAGGCGGGAGTCTGTGTCAGCTGCCATCTTGGTTACTTTTCTCTGGTTGCTGAGACAAAATAAATGCCTGATGCTGTTTATTTAGCGCACGGTTTGTGGAAATTTCAGACCATACTCAGCTGGCTCGAAGGCAAGTTGGTGTGGCTGAGGAGCAGTTGCTCCCCAGTTGCAAGCCACAACAGCAAAAAGGGTAAAAGTAGGAAAGGAACGCGATATAGACCCTCTCTTGTATAGTACGCTGGATCCGCCCCTGAGCCGGTACAGCGCTCATACCGCCAATCCCAGAGCTAGACAGCGAGCCAATCACACCAGTGCTAGACAGCGAACCAATCACAAACGCTAGGCTCAGGGGTCTCCGCGACAGCGTGAGGCCTCGCAGGGGCACTGAGACACAAACCCTGACAGCTACGCACTCTGTGGTTGTTTATCACTCTGAGCAATCATGGCTTCCTTGGCAGAGCCGACCCTGGAAGTTAATCTGCCCACTCGCACCGCTCTCTCCCCAGCTCAGCTCATTCTCCTCCTGTCGGCTCCCTGGGCTCCTCTGGCTCGCGGCAGAGCCGCCTGCCTTGAACCCTCGCTTAATTCCTGCGGGTTCCAGGCAAGTCCCATCTCTCAGCGTTGGCTGCGCGGTGCCTTGCTGTATTAGCTAGGTATGTCATCTCTCCACACCTTTCCAGCTAACCCCCGGACCTCACTCTTTGTGTCATCTATCGCTTTCTGAGATGGGCGTTTACTAAATTGCCCAGGCTGATTTCACATTCCTGGGCTCAGATGATGCTATTTCTCAGCTGCTGACTGCTGCCATGCCACAGGGCGACCACACCTTCCCCCTTACAAACAAAAACAAAACAAACACCCCAAATACTTGAAACTTATTTGCTGGGGATTTAGCTCCGAAGTTCAAGTGCTTGCGTGGTAAGCACGAGGTTGTGAATTTGATCACCGGTCCAAAAGAAAAAAAAAATCCACAAAACCCCAACACATCTTCCCCTTAATAACGTTCTCTCGCCCCTGGAGGAGTCACCCACTATGCTTCTGGGAAATGTGGGTGCTACATATTCTTAGAGGACCCCAGCTCACCTTTAATCCCCTATTTTCTTTGAGACTGGGTCTCACTGTGTAATTCAGGTGGCCTTGAACTCACTACATAAGCCTAGGCTGGTCTCAAACTCGTGGTGATCCTCTTGCCTCAGTCTCCTGAGTGCTGGGGTTACAGCTGTGCGCCACCACCCTTGGTTTCCCACCTGTATTTTACGAGTACTGAAAATGACCCAGAATGGGAAATGACCTGACTCCATCATAAGACTGGATACGGTCACGAAGAACGCCAGTATTGTATGCTTTCACCCTCATAACATTTACAATCTGCACCTTAATTTTCTCCAAATCTGCTGTTTAGGACAGGGCTGTTCTTTTTATGTCCTGGAACAATGCCTGTCAAACAATAGCGTTTGAAAAGTTTTTCTTTTTCTTTTTTTGTCTTTTTCATTTTTATCGGTATCGGGGATCAAACTCACGACCGCCTGCTTGCATGGCAGGTGCTTATGCCGCTGAGCTAAATCCCCAGCCCCTGAAAAGTTTTTCAATGCTCCGTGCAAAAGAGATTTCCTGGGCCCCATGGAAACTGCATCCTCACTCTCTCATGCCCCAGCGAAGCCACGCCCAGCACAACTGTCTGCCTGTCAAAGCCCCGCCTTCCTCAATCTCCCCGTTACCTGGGACCACGCATGCGGATTCGACATACAAAGGTTTGGGTCCACTTGTCTCTGTCCTTCTGGTTCACGTTCTCCCTTACCGCTGTGCACGTCGTCATGTCCCGCCTTCGGGTTTCCTGCTGAAACCCTGCACCACCTGCTTTTCCTCACCCGGAGGATGGGCCTTTCGGGTACACTGCAAGCCTGTGCTTTATCACGGCTCAGACACTCACGCCATTATCGCGTTTAAATAGAACCATTTCCTGTGGCGGCTTTGTCTCGTCCACAAGGCTTCTGTTTCTGGAGAATCATAGCATACTCTCTGGTATCTCTCAGTACAGAAATAACTGTTCAAAAAATTTTGTTGGCAGTGGGTATTGAATCCAGGTGCACTGCGCCACTGAGCTACATCCCAGCCCTTGTTTATTTTTTGAGGCAATGTCTTGCCAAATTGCCCAGGTGAGATTCAAACTTGCCATCCTTTTGCCTCAGCCTCCTTCAGTTCTTGGATTTAAAGGTGTGTACTGACCAATTATTCAATTTTTTCTCCAATCAATTTATTGGTATATTTTGGGTATACATAACGATCACATTCATCATAATCTGCACCTGTGCCTGACATAGCCTATTTCTTTTTTCCCCATCTCCTACCCCCACCCCTCCTCCTCTCCCCATCTACAAGTTTTGTTTCCATCTTTTCCTTCCCTTTTTTTTTTTTTTTTTTCTCTCTTTTTGAGACAGGCTCTCACTATGTAGTTCAGGCTGGCCTTGAGCTCACTTTATAACCTAGGCTGGCCTCAAACTTATGATCTGCCCGCCTCAGTCTCTCTCCTGAGTGCTGGGATTACAGGCACACACCACTCCCTCCAGCATCTTTTAAAAAACGTAATAATAAATCATGCCATTAAAATGCAGATGCAAATGTAGAATTTCGGCTTTAATCTAAAAAACATTATAAAACATGATTAATCATTAAAGATAGTCCTCTGCAGAGAATATAAACTGGGGAGATAGATCAGATAGTGAATAGGTATAAATAAGAGTAGTTTCACTTGTGGCAGGCATTAAAACGTTCAGCATGTCATTACACATTTTCCCAAAGCATCATTCTATCATCTCTATCAGTCTATCATCTATCATACCTATCAATCATCAACCACCTATCCTCTATCATCTCCATCAATATGAATCATCTATCAATCATATCTCTATCAATATATCTAACATCATATGTATCATCTATCAATCTGTCATCACATCATCATCGTTATCGTCATTGTCATCAACCTGGGGTGCTAAGGTCAGGGCCTCACACATGCGAGGCAAGCACTCATCTTAGAGCTACATGCCCAGCCATTCACTGTCATGAGGACACAGTGGAGCCTGCAGAGCTGCAATGGCACCTGTGACATTGCTGCAGATTTTAAGGTTAGGCACCTGAGTCCTAAGGAAAGAGATACCAGAAATCTGTCACCACCAACCCCAAGTAAATGTTAAGATGACAGCAGAGCCTAAGGGAGTGGGCCTCATTTTTTTCAAGATTCCCTTGGAATCTAATTAGGGGGCTCAGCACCCTTTTAAACATGTTTGCCCCACAGACTGAGGCAGAGTTCTGCGCAGGTCACATCCTAGCATAGTGAATTAATTTGCCGTCTGGTAAACCCAGCTTTCTGGGAGGTGAGGTAGCAGATGATAACTTTGAGCCCAGGCTGGGCGATTTCATGAAACCCTGTCTCAAAGTGAAAGATTAAGAAAGGTGTGGGAATATAGCTCAGCATGAAGACCCTGGTACCACAATATAAACCCCCCACGCACAAAGCAATTCATCACCTCAGGAACTCACAGTCCTTCAGGCAGCCTGGGATGGGTGAAGGACCTACTCACAGCCTCAGCTTCTTGGGAAACTGAGACAGGAAAATTGCTTGAACATTAGGAATTCTGGACCAGGAGGAAAATACAGAAAGGAAGAAAGATGGCCTTCTAAAAATACAAAGAAAAAACAGAAGCAAGGATTCTAGAAATAGAGCTAGCTAAAAAGACTATTAAGGACAGCCACTCTCTTAGGTGAACAGAGTTACTAGAGCACCTAGTAGCTTTTCAGCATCTCTAAACTGCTTCATAGCCGTTCTGTGGAATCATTTTTTTCTTTTTTTTCTTTTTTTTTTTTTTTTTTTGCCACAAGCAAAGCTTGAAAGCTATGGTTCAAAATACAATGCAAGGGGCTGGGGATTTAGCTCAGTGGCATAAGCACCTGCCTTGCAAGCAGGCAGTCATGATTTTGATCCCTGGTACCGATAAAAAGGAAAGACAAAAAAAAAAAAATACAATGTGTCAGGATCTGTGGCTCTCAGCAAGATATTTTTGATTCAGTTTCTTCTAAAAGGGAGATAACACATATTTTGTAGGACTTCTGTTATAAACTATTGTTATGGTTTGGATCTGAAGTGTTCTCTAACACTCACCCTACAATGTTCAAGTGGGGCGGGGCTGAGACCTCGAGGGCACCGAGCTCATCACAGGGTCCCTGGTGAGTCCAGGGCTAAGCAAAGCTGAGGTTAGTCTGTCACTGGTGATTGCCTCAGGAGCGCTTGTTTTGTTCTGATCCTTTCTGCTTTGGTAATCTGGTTCTCTACCTTTTTGCTGCACTCAGGTGAAAAACCTCCCTCTGCCAAGCTTTCCCTCTATGATGCTCTTCTTCACCAGAGGTTCACAGCAACAGAAATAGCTGACCACCCATGGACTGAAACCTCCGAAGCCATAAGCCAAGATTAATGTTTCTTCTCTTCAAGTTGACTTTCTTGTGTATTTTGTCACAGCAAATTTAAAGCTGACTAAAAAGGTAACTAACTGCCCAGTATTTTTTTTTTTTTGGTGCCAGGGATCGAAATCACAACCTTACACTTATCAAGCAAGTGCTTGAACTGCTGAGCTACCAGCCCCCACGCTCAGCATATTTTGTAGATGGTCAGAATGTAGCAACTATTATTGTAACTTCAGCTGATTTTTAAAAATGTATCTTGTTATGAAAGTCATATCAGACATCATTTATAATTCTAGTGAAAACATTTAATAGCATACCAGCAATACATTTCTGGAGACTTATAAAATAAAGAAAATACAATTACCATTGTCATTAATATGATCTTTAATAAATGGAATAATGCACCATTTTACAGCAAGCCTTTTTAAACCTAAAGAACTGTCTTAAAATCTCCTCCAATGTCTCTGTATCAATACAATCTTTTTATTTGTTTATATATATCAAAGCATTTACTTACACTTATTCATAGAAAACTCTTTAGTGGCTTAATGTCAGCTTTCATAGTGGCATCCATAGATAATACAAAAGAAAAGTCATTTGCTTTTTTTCATACTCACACTGACCCATCAAACACAACTTCTACAGCATAGCAAGGTCTCAGACGGCTTATACAAAAGCAAAAATAACTGAAAGTAATTATTCATAAATTCATATATGATACTCTATTTTTAATGTTAAGAGCAAAACACACCAAAAAAGATACCCGTTAACAAGAAAGAGGGTTCTGAGGAAGTGCCAATATTTTTCAGCCTTTCTTTTTACAGAAAAGCATCCTCAGAAATGAATACTCTGTAGCTTATGTTTCTCCTGTCCAATCAGAAAAAGCATGGCAGCTACACCTCCTTCTCCATGTTTCAGCTACAACACCCTAAGAGTCAGTGTATTTTACAATTACTCATTTATCTTCATCTGAAAGACTGTCAACAGAAAACCATGGATGATTCCAGCTTACACACCCACTTACTATAATGTCTACAGAAAACAAGGCATACAAAAATTGTTTAAATAAATAAATGTGACCAGAAAAAGAAAAGCCACAGCAATCAAGCAATTCAATATTAAATTATAGCCTATTTTTGAATGGCATCTTTTAGGAATTTAGTTTTTTTAAAAAAATGTTTCTTTTACATACTTACGAAGATTGGTAATGAAAAAGAGCCTGAGACAAGAGACACAACTCCACGGCTAAGATTTAAACACACAGCATACCAACTAAGAAACTGAGCATGTCTGGTTCACAGAATTTTGTTTGGGCTACACAGGTTACAATATAGTACCTGCACAAAATGTACATGCCACTACTATAAACTCATTAGTTCACTTACAGAAGATTTGTGATGTTAAATCACCTCTTGAGAATAGCTGTATCTCAGAGGAATTACTTTACTATGTTATTAAAAAACAAAACAAAGTGAACTGATTAATCTTACCCTTCATAGCCATTTAACAAAAGAACAGAAAGGTTTTAAGCTGGTGTTTCAACTCTTAAGGCCTAAATTTGCTATATCAAGTAGCCAATCAGTAGAATGATTTCTGTCATTCAGTAATTACAGAACTGGGTAAGTTTTTACAATTAATTAAATTGATATTATTTTTTATCAGTACCGGGGATTGAACCCACGACTGCCTGCTTGCAAGGCAGGTGCTTATGCCGCTGAGCTAAATCCCCAGCCCCTGAAATTGATATTATTTCTATGTGAATTAAGTCAAAGACGAAACATTAAATAAACTGTACAACAAGCATTTTAAGTATTCAACTGGACCTACTTAACTTGCTTGCTTGTACTAACTGAACTTTTTCAGTGTACAAAGGGCTAAGATCCTGAGCTTATAAGTAATAGTATGTGTGATTCTAAAACAAAAATGTTTCTGAGATCTAAAGTACAAATAAAATGGAAAAACCCATGTGTTTGAAAAACAAATCAAATTGTAATTTCAAGTATGCTAATTTTGTTAAAAATCCAACACAGCTGAGTATGTGTGTGGGGTGACACATGTAATGCCAGCACGCAAAGAGGCTGAGGTGGGACAGCTGCCTGGGGCCAAGGGTGTAGCTCAGTGTGGATACCCTGAGTTTAGTCCCCAGTGCTGCCAAGAGAAAAACTTAGTCACAAACTGGACACCCTAATGAAATAACTGAGCTCTAACGATTCCTTTTCCCTCACCCATACTTTAATCAGGCTTCAAACTGAGTTTTACACATAAATGTGTATGTGTATAGTATTAATAGGAACACCACAAATACTGTATCACAGTAATAATGGAATTGGAATTTTTAAAGATACAATAGATTTTTGGGAATAATTTTAATTTACAGCATAAATCCTTATGTATTTACCTTCAGATGTATCTTTGATGAGATGAATTTCTAAGTTTTTCTATGCAAACACTCAACTTTAGTCACTTACAATGGTATTTCAAAAGTGGTCCTCAAAAATGTTCATACATAATACCTGATTTCTGTAGGGTTTATTTTTGGAAGTAACTTTTATATTTAGTGTTTAACACAATTATTTGATATAAAGAAACATGCAAAATGTTGTGGCTCAATCATAACACTAAGCTTGCTGCAATACAGGCGAAATGATTTTAATAGCAAAATGTTATACAATTCTGTATGGATGGCTTTTTAGGTATAGCTAATAAAAATATAAAATCATAAAACTCCACAATTTAATAGAAAATATTAAATACAAAAACTAATTGCAAATTTCCTGGTGGTCTAAAGGTTGAATCCAATGTCAAGTGATAACATATTAACTCTCAAATATATCGAACCAATAAAACATTAGAGTAATTAATGTTTCTTAAATATAGTCATTAAAATAGGACCAATGAGAAAAAAATTAAAGAAATTGAGACATTTTTTCTGAAAGAACTGAGATTTAGATGTTAACAGAGGGGCCCTGAAGCGTACTAAAATAACAATATTGAGGAGGATGAGTCTATTTTTTTTTTTCCTGCTAGGTTAGAGAAATGGATTTAAAGTTAAAATGGAAAGAGACAGGACAGACATGAAGAAAGCTTCCCGCACACACAGACCTCGGGTCCCATGGCAGAGGGGCAAGAGATGGAAGTGCACAATGATATGAGGAAGGGATGGTCAGCCATGATGGCATCTAATGGGTTCCACTTTTCCTGTATGTTAACTTGAAAACTTATAGAAAAGTTTTCTTTTGATAACTTTTGGGTTAATAGCTCAATTGTTATTGGATTCACTTAGGAGTTTAGTTAGGAGAGGAAAAGGCAAGGTAGCTGTGGACAAACTTTGCATAGTTCATAAACTAAAAGCTACAATGCAGTTTTATCTGCTGAAAAGAACACATCCAGTCTGGAAGAGATTTCTGAAAGTGGGAATACTACACAATTTCTAGAATGATATGGATAATCAACTAATGTGTGTATAGATTCTAACTTTAAGGGGTTAGCTCGTAAGATAAACTAATATATAAAGCAATCTACAAATAGCTTTGTAATAACCTCCATAAGACAAGAAATTAAACATAAATTTATAAAATACGGTATAGAATACAATTTAATGTCAAGTTCTAAGAGTTAAAAATCTTTGCTGAAATATTTATGTTCATAAATATGAAAAAAAGAAGCAAAGTTTATTGAAGTATTTTTCCATTTTAAATGATTTTTTAAAAAGTTACAGAGACTACAAAGTTCACTATAATAGCTGGGCCTACTGGGTATTCCATGTAAGACAAAAATATTTTACATAAAAATGTTTGCCAAACTTTGTGACAACTCCCACTGAAACATATACTTGAGTACAGTACTCCTTTCTATTTTCACATTCAGAACTAAAATACACTTTCTAGAAATAGATATTTGTAAGGAAGTTACTCTAAATTGGTTTATAAACAAGATGTCCTTTGTTCCTCCCTTATGCTACATATCTAAGTTTTCTGGAATAACAAAATTTCCAAGTCATTGAAAGCAGTTATGGTCAAAGGTCTGGTGAGACTGATGTTAAATTAACTATTCCAAATCTAGCTGAAATAAATTTAGGGGAAAGTCTCTGCTCCCATAGCTACTTTTACTTTTCCCTTAAATTTACTTTACCTTTAGCTCTGCAATGGGAAGAACACTATGGGTTTGTTGAAGTGATTTTAAGATTCACAATGGCATATATAGGGTCAAATTTGATCTTGAGTTAGTAATTATTTAAGCAGCAGTAAGCATAGACATATCTACACATCTTATGTTTGCCTAACTGCTAAAGTTACAGTATTTGATTTGGGAGACACACTCAGGTTAAAATCCCAGCTTTGGCTGTTACTAGATTTGAACCTGGGATAAACTAAGCACCTAGTTTCTGTTTCCTCATTTGTAAAATAGTAATAGCAATTATCATATTCAACTGGTTGTGCTAAGCATTAAAGGATGCCATGGAGGTATATCCTACATTTGCTATGTTCCTTCTCAGAGCTTTCTACAAGAAGTGTATTTTTTTCAATTGCACATTAAGAAAAAGTTTCTAAGATTTACATGGAAGTCATTTAAGTCTAAATATTAATTCAAATCAAGTTATTTCAATGACTTAATTCTGGAATACAATTAGGATTTTTGTTAAGGAAAATATTAATAGACTGCCTATTATGTTTTTAAGATCATTAGGATCCAGTGAGATAAATTTTAGTATATGTTTATTGAATGCCTTTTTACTCAAAGGACCCAAATTCTTTGACATGCAAAATTCTATGATTTCAACTGAGTATCAGCTTTCAAACATTATCAGATAAAGTCAGCAATTCATAGGTCATCAGTAAGAGTGATTTTGCTTGCTTGTGTAATACAGAATTCTAAAAATCAGATATAAAATATCCAAGATTTATTAAAATAGCCTGCATTTTCTACTTTTCCTACTCTTTCAAGAGCCTAATAAAACAACTGGGGAAATTATTTTAAATGTTTGCATGAAATGGGAAAATACAGAGTTCTTTTACTTTAGGATATTCATTTTTAAAGCATATTATTAAATGTTAAACTGTTGGAAAACTCACAATCAACTAGCCCAAATACAAAGTATATCAGAACGTAAGATAACTCTATCCTGACAAGAAAAGATGAGTTAGATCTTAAATGGTCACTTATCTTCAATGTTGCAAGCTGGAGATAAAATATGTTTTTATTCAAAGCTGTCCCAGAAACTCTTGAAAATAGTATACTGAAATGTATTTGAAAGAAAGTGAAGTAAAAATTTACTGGAAAAGATATGATAGTCTGCTACACAGCGAAAAGAAACAGCTGTATGAAAAAAGGATATGTCAACAGACTACCACATATGTAAAGAGCCTGAATCAAGAGAGAGGCCAGTAAAACATAAAAAGTAGCAATTCTGGGCATGAGTAAGATGATCTCAGGTCCTGCACAAAGAACTATATTCAGCAATGCAGCTGAGCAGATGGGATGTACCACAACATGCAACTCCCTGGTTCCAGCAGATGGCAAAATTTTTAAATAGTTTAGACAGAAAATTGAAGGATGCAGTCTGTGCTAAGCAAAATGATAAAGACAGAGGAATATAAATGAAAAAGTACTGTTCAGGAAATAATCTAAATCAGGAAATTGGGGATTTGCTTTCGTCTTTATTTTTACCTATCAGAAAAATCTTACAACTTAGTTAATGTCTAGTAAGTACTCAGAGTCTGAAAATAAGGTGATTGTTTGCAAAACGAAAGACTAATTTGTTTAGAAAAAAATCCCCTTTTTGACAGAAAGTGCTTTGTTAAAAAATACAGACGTTAATGTTTTAGAGAAGATTATTAGTAATGAAATAAGCAAAGAAAACTTTAAAAAAGAGGATGATTTCAAAGACATGTATCACTAAAAGGTATACACTAGTAAAATATAAATGATAAATACTGTTCACATGTCAAAGATCATGTGAGAAGGTGGCAGAAGGAGAGATGAAAACAGAAGAGCAAAGAGACACAGTTTTGCAGAGAAAGATGGCAAAATCTCAGTTTGCTCAGAAAAGTAACTTTGGCCGTGGGACAACCTCTCCACAGTGCATCAGGTCACAGGAAAGAGAATCACTTTTAGGTAAACTCACCAGGCTGTGCTTGGGGACAAAATAAAAGGGCAGTACAGCTTCAAGACTGAATTACTTTTAAAGTTATAAGAAGAAACGCAATTTTGTGTCAAAAATGACCTTCACAGAGAATGAAGGTTATGACTCTATATACTATCTTAACCATATACTTAAAAATTTCATGTAAGTTTAGCTCTATGAATTTTCTGATAAAAATGTATTTCTTAAATAGATGAATATGGAAGATAAACATACTTAGAAAAATAAAACAAAATGGAAAAAGCTAACATTTGGTTTCCTGTATTTTGTTCTCTGTTGCCTTATGAACTTTCTTTTGTTTTTTATTTTTTATTTTTTTTGTCTTTTTCCTTTTTGTCGGTACCGGGGATCAAACTCACGACTGCCTGCTTGCAAGGCAGGCGCTTATGCCGCTGAGCTAAATCCCCAGCCCCGCCTTATGAACTTTCAACCAGAACCAAATATGCTTATTAAAATGCCCGGAAGGAAATATTTGAGGTTTGGAAGGTCAAAAGAAATGGCATTCCAGAATGAGTTTTGGTAGTCCCTGCTTCAGAGCCCTTTGGGACAATGATTCTACACTCTCCATAAGCAGAAGGCAAGCAGAAATTGCATAGCTGCTTCTTCCTGTGCAAAATTCATTGTCATAACTGACCTACAAAACATACAGGGGATGGCAGAAAAAAACGTTTGTATTATGGAAGAATGGGAGTGAAACTAAATTATGGAAGAATGTGTGTCCGTTAGGAAGAGAACTCACAAGAGAGCTGATTTGTGATCTATAGACTATTGCACATTCAAACAAAATACAAGAGACAGAATGTCCAACAGGTATGATAATGAACAAACTAGCTTGTGCCCAGAAATAAAGCATGGGTACCAGATACCACTGCAGTCAAACCTGTCTCAATTTGCTTCTGTTTTAATGACCTTTAGAAAATGGTCCAAACTGATTATCAGCAATACACTGTTTTTGCTTTTTTTCTTAAAAAAATATTTTGAGACCACTTTTGATACACACACACACACGTATAATTCTGTGGTCATAACAGACAAACACAATTTTAGCGAGACTAGACAAAAAGTGCAAAACTTAAAAAACATTAAAAAATATGGAAGCATAAGCTAAATTTTTCTGCATAGCTGAAATCTATTTAAAGCAAGTCCTTGTTGCAGGTATGGGAAGGGGTGCTGACAGGAAGATAAAGCAGTTTTTAAAAAAATGTCTTCTGCATGTTTAAATGATGCAAAAAATAATTCTACTCCATCAGCTTGAAAACATCTTACAGACAGTTCATTCCTATATCTTTAGACACCATGGTAGTGGCGGTGCCTCCATCTGCAAGGTAAATGGCGGCGCTGGACTTGGGGGCAGCTGCCGGATCACAGCCACCATTGTTGACCTCGTGTCCCAGGTGCTCTGTGGCCACAGCCCAGGTAGAAGGGCGCCACCGCTTCAGAGAGTAGGGTGTCTTCACGCGTCTCTTGATCTTCTCACCTGACCCTGACTTGCCATCCTGTGCTGACTCACCTACCAGAAACAAAAGTGCATAAAGATGAACTACGCATAGAAGTATCACCAAGTAAGCACCTAGGGTTGAATTCCACACATGGGAAAATGATATATGCAGGAGGCCCTAATGGATACTTCTCAAGTCAGGATGCCAGGCAATGCTTTTCTAGGCAAAACCTAATTATTTATAGTATTTGGTGGATTATTTGCACCAACTAGTTTTATGACTGATATATTCTAGTGCAAGGAACACAACACAGAAAAGACACAAGTGGATACCCCAACTTGGGAAGAATACACTTGGCCCACTAGTGCTCAGAGTGGGTTAAACTATAAACGCATCCAGATATAATATTTCCCAGAATGGCAGAAATATTAGGGTTTAATTTTTTCAATAATTTCCTCTTTCTATACCCAAAAAGATGTTTTACTGATACACAGTCACACAATAAGGGCATGCTAAATGGGCTCCAATACTGGCCACTTGAGCAATTTACTATTAATTTTCAAGACGTGTATTCCTCCATCAGTCCATTGTGTGGCCTGTGACAATTGTAAAGCATGACTGTCAATTTAAAAGAAACTGTTTTGTGCCTAATGACTGTTAGAGATTTTGGTTGCTGGCATATCTTCTGCTGTCATTCCTGTGGGGCAAGAAGCCAAGCATCAGTCTACTTGTTTAAACTGTCTTGAGGCCAGCAACACAATACAATGAGTATGGGAGACATTTGATATGTGACTTTTGAAAAAGATGACACCAAAAACTGAGAGTGACTGTATAATTTTGTTATTGTGGACTTCTCTTAACTTGGAAGGTTTATTAAGGTTAAAATATAAATGTAAGCCGAGTGTGGTGGCACATGACTACAATTCCAGCACTCAGGAGCCTGAGGCACAAAGATTATTCCAAGTTTGACACTAGCCTGGGCTACAAGGTGAGCTAAAGGCCAGTTTAAACTGCATAGTGAGACCCTGTTTCAAAAAAAAAAAAAAAAAATCTAAATGTAGATATAAGACATTAATAAACATAAAAGGTTTCAAAAGTCATAGTGCCAGCTGGGCGTGGTGGCTCATGCCTGTAATCCCAGCACTCGGGAGGCTGAGGTGGGAGGATCGTTGCGGGTTCGAGACCAGCCTGGGCTACAAAGTGAGCTCAAGGCCAGCCAGAACTGACTGCATAGCGAGACCCTGTCTCAAAAAGACCCCCCCCCCCAAAAAAGTTGTAGTGCCATAATACTAGAGCTCTGATATATTTGGTAAGTATTTACTGAATCTCGTTATATAAAGTACATGAACTGCATTATAAAAGAACAATTATGGGGGCTAGGGATTTAGCTCAGCGGCATAAGCGCCTGCCTTGCAAGCAGGCAGTCGTGAGTTCCATCTCTGGTAGCGATAAAAAGGAAAAAGACAAAAAACAACAAAAAACAAAAACAAAAAAAAAACAATTATGAAACATATTAAATTGGTCATTTTCCTATTTGTGACAGTTTTAATTATTGAGGACAAAGTATTTTTCTTCATAATAGTCTAATTACTTTTGAGATTAAACGAATGGCTTATTTCTAAAGGTAGTGAAAGTAAACCTCACCAGCTGAAACCAGTGAGTATGCACAGTTATCTAAGTAGTCCCCACAGGCGTGTAGGAGGAACTCCACTTACTCTGCACACCACAGCCATCCAGGACATTGGTGGCTGAAAGATCCAGAGAATTGGGCCTCTGTGCTCTTCTGGGCTTTGATGGCCCCGGATCTGCTACTGTGCTTGAAACGCCCTGTGAAAGAACGTCTTGTTCGGAGCCTGGATTGCTGTTGTTGTTGTTGGAATTTGTTCGGCCACCTTCTAACGGCCGTTCCCGCCTGTCCATGAGGCGATCCAGAACACCTTCATCATGGCTGGCTTGCTGTTCACGTCTCAATAAAGGTTCGTGCTCATCAGGACTGGAATTAATATTGAGCCGGGTGTCCTCTCCAATAAACTGATTCTGCAGCATGTCTTGAGCCCTGTGTGCTACCACGCTGGCTGTCTGGCCAGATGGCACTGCCCCGTTGGCATACTGGGTGGCAGCATGGGGGTGAACACCGTGGCTTCGACCTGCCACACCATTCATGGTGACAGTTACCACGTGAGGCTCTGCTGCATTGACTGTATTCATCTTGGCAACTCCAGTTTCCACTTGTTTCAAGTTTGATTTGTGCTTGCTGCCAAATTTTAGTCGGGACTCCTTTGCTGAATTTTTGGTATTCAAAGGCAAGCTAGTAGGTCTCTTAGGCAGGTTCTGCTGCTTAGGGAGAGGATAGAGCTGAGTAGGCGTAACGTCAGGAATTAAGCATGCCTGCCCATTGGTGCCCTGGGTAAAATCCTGCTGCCCAGTCGCTTCCACTGCAAGTTTTATGAGTGGGTAGAGCAAGCTGGAACTAGTGCTGCTCAGTGGATCTGGCCCGCTGAACTGTTTAAGAGAATGCTCCATGAGGTTCTCATCAGAGCTCTCTTTGAGGTTCTTGTCTACTTCTTTTGGATCTAGCTTATTGGTCTCTAGGTCCTCTTCTGTCAGCTGCAAGCAGACTGGGGTAGGACCGATCGACTGTGCGACACTGGCATGGAGATTTGTTTCATCTGGGTATGGAAGCTCAGATATCGTGGTCATGCCAGTGCTTGGTGTGAGGCCAGTGGTGTTCGTGGTGGTCGTGTTGGTGGACAGGCTGGTGACACTGGTCTCAGGGCTGGGGATCCGCGCTTGCGCTTGTTGCCGTTCATAATTAATGGAGTTTCGGTTCTTTTCCCCCATGGTCAAAGGTGTGCTGGACATAGGATGATCAGAGGAGATATTCTTCACAATGCTGTCAGTGTGGTGGACAGAGTCTTCAATGTACGAGGAAGAGGAGTAATCTGGGTAAGGGCCAATTTTTGGCACACGCCTATTATGTGACAGGTTGCTTAAAGAAAAGACAAAAAGTGACACTGAGAATGTGGATTTAGGACAAATTCTCTGCAAGTTTAACATTACTGATTTTAGTCTGAGCCACTTATTATTTTATTCCTAACATATTATTTTTGAAGTTACTTAAAAAGTCTAATAAAAGCGGGGTGTAGTGGCTCACGCCCTATAATCCCAGCACTCAGAAGGCTGAGGCAAGAGAATCGTTGTCAGTTTGAGACCAGCCTAGGCTACAAAGTGAGCTCAAAGCCAGCCTGAACTGCATAGAGAGACCCGGTCTCAAAAAAGACATAAAGACAAAAGTCTAATAAAATAATCATGTATTGATAACTGCTTAATTCTAGGCACAATCTATAATCTCAGAAACTGCCCAAATGCCTACTTACCAATGAAGGTGAGGTTTTTTTTTTTTTTTTTTTTTTTACAATAGAGTACTACTCAACCATAAAGACAGATAAACTTGAGACTTTTTTTGTTTGGTAACAGGTATTGAACTCACAACCCTGAGCTTGTTAGGCAGGCACTTATGCAGCTGAGCTAAATCCACAGCCCAACTTTGGACATTTCTAGGTAAATGGATACACCTTGAGACCAATACTCTTAAGTGAAAGAAACACATGTGTATAAATATCACATTGTTTCTCTTGTGTGAGAAACTGAAAGTGTAAATAAGCACCACAATATATAACAGATACTGTGAAATAAGAAGAAAATGTCCAAATGGGAAGGGGAAGGGGGGGGCAGGGATGAGAAAAAAAAGACACAATGTAAACAAAGCTTTTGTAAATAAGGAAGGAAACAGGTTGAATGGGAGGTAAGAAAAGGGGAAAAAGAAGCAAGATATATCATGCACAGGAAAAAAATTCTTTTTTTGTCTTTTTCCTTTTTATCGGTACCGGGGATCGAACTCACGACTGCCTGCTTTCAAGGCAGGCGCTTATGCCGCTGAGCTAAACCCCCAGCCCCAGGAAAAAAATTCTTTATGATGAATGTAGTCATCATGTATAATTAAAATATACCAATAAAATTGAAAAAATAAAATAACTTGTTAAATTCTAATTTTACCTGAATCAAACGTACTGAAAATCTATGCAGATCTGGATATGATCTGTGTAGATACTCTTATTCTGGTTTAAAAGAGTTAATCTGAAAAGCTCCCCTGTAATTTGCAACATCACAAACATACTTTCTGAACTGTGCACGGGCAGAGCCTACCATCACATCTGGGGGCCACACGTGTTTCTGTTGCACCCCTACAACCCCAAATCCATGGTGTCCACTTGGCCAGGAGAATCCAGGTTCCCACAGCTATGTGGTAAAAGGACAAGCTTCCAGGTTGCTCTGCCACACCCCCATTAAAAGGCACAGTAGCTGGGTGTTGTGCTGTATGCCTGATATGCCTAGCTATGCAAGAGGCTGAGGCAGAGAATTTCAAGTTTGAGACTAGTTCAGGCAATTTAGTGAAACCCTGTTTCAAAAAAAAAAAAATTTTTTTTTAAAAGTCAGGCATGGAGCTTAGTGGCAGAATGTTTGCCTACACACAGCAGGTGCTGCATTCTACCCCTAGCACAAAGGGAAAAAAGGCAAGGTCTAGCAATGTCTTTCAGGGGTTGTCTAGGGATTATCAGTGAATGTCACAGAGGTGAACCTTTCAGAGTTTTCAATGATATAAACAGCCTGCTGTAGCACATGTATCATACAGTTCACCAGCACTGGCCTAGGATAGGAACAAAATGTGACAGTGAGATATAAGATCAAAGATTCAGAATAGCTCTTCAGTTCAAGGGTTCTTCAGTCACAATTGCTCTTGGGGTTGATGGTTCTTGTAATATGTCTATAATTATTTAAAATTTCACCAAAGTAAAAACCAGCAATAGCTTTAACTAAAACACTCAAGGTAAAAATGCTGGAACATTAACCACAAAGGTAACAGGACAGAAGTAGCAGATGAGAAAGAGGTGTTATAAAGGGAGACCGGTAAATTACAAGGAGAATGGCAGGGAGGCAGAGAAAAACACAGCCAGGCAAACAGGAAGCTATGGATCTTAAGAGTCAATAAAACAAAACTTAGAGTGAGCAAGACTACAGAAAAAACTGTGATTTATTGGAAATTAAAATAGAGATGAGATGAAAATAAGCATGGCAGAGAGTAGAGCCAGAGTACAAAGGAGGCAAAAAATGGCCAGAGAAGGGGAACATCAAGTGCTTTTTGTACTATTAAAAAAAGCAGGGCTGGGGCTGGGGATTTAGCTTAGTGGCATAAGCGCCTGCCTTGCAAGCAGGCAGTTGTGAGTTTGATCCCCAGTACCGATAAAAAGGAAAAAGACACACACACACACACAAACAAAAGCAGGGCTGGGGATTTAGCTCAGTGACATAAGCGTCTGCCTTGTAAGCAGGCAGTCGTGAGTTCGATCCCTGGTACCGATAAAAAGGAAAAAGACAAGAAAAGAAGAGCTCAGGAGCATTTAAAGTAAAAGCTTTAGCTGACTCTTAAGAGAGGTATAAACAGCATAACGGACAACTGATAACCCTTTCCTGGAGCCCTTGAAATTTCTATACATCTATTTGATAAGTAGAAGCTTTTGGAATATGAAATAAAAAAATTAGATGGTCCAGTAAGAAGACGTAAGAATTTTTAAAGAAACTTTTTTCAGAACAAAAAATCATAGCTCTAAGGAAAGGAAATATTTTACACAACAGTGTTCCTGGTAGAATGAAAAGACATTTTGAATTGCTTTAATGTAAAAGGATTAGTCATGTATTCTGTAAGAAATAGCTTTGGATAAGAAGTCTGGAAACCTTAGTGTCCAGTGAAACAGCAATTAGATACTACCTAAGGCAAGTTCACAGTTCTATTTATACTTACTTAAAAAAACAAAAAACAAAAAAGGGAGGAAGAAAATAACAAATGTATTAGGTAATGTATGTAGAAGTCTTGTAAACTTTTAGGAACTATGAAAATATTTTACTATTATTATTACAGGGAAGTTGAGGCAAAAGACTAGACTAATTCCACTCTTATCAAATAGATATTTTCAGTGAAAGAACAGCAACACTGAAAGAAAAACTGAGTTTATGCTATAAACACTGTGAGTTTATGCTATAAAAGTTAATCACTATAATGGTTATGAGGTTAGTTTGAAAATGTTTCTTTCCTCTTCTTGGTTCGTTCTCGGTCTCCAGGCACCAGCCCCAGGGGGTCTTACCGCTCATTCTGGACGGCAGTGGACATGGGGTTGACCGTTGGGCTCACAGATTTGTTTCTTTCCCATATCATCATGAGCTCGGCCATTCTCTCCTCGGCGCACTGTGCAGTCAGTCGCGCCTCTGCATCTTGGTCCCAACAGTCTTCAATTGTCTCCTTGAGTGACCTCACTGCCTGCGAAACAAAACACATGTCAAAACGATTATTGAGCTTTTAGAATATAATATGTGGTAAAAGACAAATCATATATTTTTTAAAAGCTAGTATTTTAAAAAGCTGTAATAATGTCTTGCATGGTGGCACATGCCTATAATCTCAGCACTTAAGAGGCTGAGGCAGGAGGATTGCTGTGAGTTTGAGGCCAGCCTACACAACATAGTGAGAATTTGCCTTAGCTATAATAAAGTATTTTAAAGTTCAGGGATTATAAAGGCATTTCTCAAAGTGAATTTTTGACAGATTCTCAAAAACTGAGGAGCAAGTAAGCAAGCAAGGTCTAACTCTCTAAAGAATTATTCACAAAACTAAGCATCTATAATATGCTGCAGGTACTTCTTCAATACCATAGGTTTGAGGTGGGTGCGGTGGCTCATGCCTGTAATCCCAGCACTCCGGAGGCTGAGGCAGGAGAAACATTGTGAGTTGAGAACAGCGTAGGCTACAAAGTGAGCTCCAGGCCAGCCTGAACTGCCTAGAGACCCGATCTCAAAAAAAGACAAAACAAACAAACAAACAAAAAAACCATGGGTTTGTATCACATTGGCTCTGTTACATCAAGCAATATCTACTTATTCCACTTAAGAGAAAGTTTAGATGGACAGACTTACTATTTATAGCTATCACTTTACAAGCTTTAACTTTGCGACTTGAACAATTATTTCTAAGATGACAATATGTAATCCATTAACTAGTGATTTCCTACTGTTTATTTTTTTCTGTAAATCTGTATAACTTGTACCCTTTCTCTGCTTTTTTTTCTCCTTAAATAAAATTTTAAAAAAAATTATTTTTTAATTTTTATTTTAAAGAGAATAAAACAAAACAAAGCAAGACAAAACAGAATGAGCAGAGCAGAGCAGAGTAAAATAATGCAGGTAATACTAGAATTTCAGAAAAAGACAGCAAGAAATCAACAGTGGCTACCATAATATTTCCTGTTTTCTTTGAAACAGCTGTCTATACCTTCATACACAATAAGTTAGTACAAATTAGAATATTATAGAAGCAATCAAAAAGCAAAGAATGAGAGCCTTAAGAGCTTTCAAGACTAGACACTAGGAAATCAATAATGGCTACCATAATGTCTGTTGCTTTCGCAAAATAGCTGTCCATACCTTCACACATATTGAAATCAAATAATTGAAAACAGACTAAAAACAATCAAAACCAAGAATAACCTGTCTTAAAATTTAAAAAAATAAAAAGAGTAAGTAATATAGCTCAGTAGCTCCTGGGTTTAGCCCCTAGCACTGCAAAAAAGAAAACAACTTCATAGAAACACAAAGGGCTTAGCCAGACATCAGCTATTCCTGAAATTCATATGGAAATTCAAAGAATCTAGAATAGCCAATTATCTATGAAAAGAACAAAGGCAGAGTACTAAAATTACTCAATTTTAAGACACTGTATAATGCCAATGCAATCAAGACTATGGTATTGGGATTAAGATATACATATTGGGGCTTGGGATTTAGCTCAGTGGCATAAGTGCCTGTCTTGCAAGTGTGCAGTTGTGAGTTTGATTCCCAATACCAAAAAAACACAAAAAAACAAACAAACAGAAAAACCTCACCAGGCAGGAATGGATTGATTTCCCTGCCTTAGCCTCTTGAATAGCTGGGACTGTAAGCATGTATCATGCCTGACTGAGGGGAGCGGGGAATATATATACATATACATACATATATATAAAACTGAATTGATATGCTGCACCCAAGTTACTATCAGATGTAATCTAAATTTTTCTTAGCCATTGACGCTGGAAGCCTGTGTTAGTGAACGCTCGATGTTATTTATGAGGAGATTGTATTTCAAGATCAATTGAAGAGCATGTGTGGATAATGTTTAACATATTAACATGCCAGTTAACATTCTTCCAGTTGTCACCTGATCTGGTGACCTTCAAACACAGCATTAGTTTCCCTACAGAGTATTGTCTAGTATTGTCTAAAACCAGGCATAGTGGCACACACCTATAAGCCCAGCACTCAAGTGGCTGAGGCAGGAGGGTCAGCATGAGTTTGAGGCCAGAGTGGGTAATAGGTAATACCCTGTCTCAAAAAACTTAAAATTTAAAAAAAAAAAAGTTTTCTGATTGGAAAAAACTGAAACTGATCTAAAAGGTGCAATTATGTTATGTTAAAAAATTTGAAAACATGTAATATCAAAACTAAGTAAGTTAGACTTTTGGCACTGGGCAACCCTGAAGCCTATTAACATTATTAATTTATTTTTGCTTCAAATAACATCAAAATATATGCAATCAGAAGTTCTCGTCTTAATAATTTAGCTTTTTCTTACCAGACTGTTTTCTTTCCAGGCTTCTGGGAACTTGGGTCTCTGTTTTTCCCTAGACACAAGAACTTGCATGTCCTCAAAAGTGGGATGATTTCCAACTTCGGTCTGAAAAGCCATCTGATATTCTGGTACAGATTCACCTGTGTATTTATAAACAAGAATATAGCAGAATTTCCAAAGGTAAATAAATTATGGAACGAGTATTTCTGATATAAAGTAAGTAAAGAAATTGTGCATATCAAACACATTTGGGCACGTGTAAATCCTAAAGTGGTGATGGTGAACCTTACAGAGCTTTTAGTGATGCAAACAGCCCACAGCAGCATGCATACCATAGCTTCTCCAGCATGATCCTTAAGAGAGCCTGTTTCAGGGTTAGTATGTTATTAACACTTTCCTTAGAAGAGTTTCAAACACTGGTTGGTAAATTAATTGGTAGTTTCAATAATAAGCAGGTATTTTATTTATTTTTGGTGCTGTGAATTAAACCCAAGGGCTTACACACATTATGCACATATTCTACACTTACGAAAAACATGGGCAGGCATTTAAAAATGGTTTCTTCTTCTACTACTAGTAAAAGATTATGTTTATAAGGTATACTTAATATTTAAAAATTGCCTGAACTTGGATCCCATCTAAGGGAATGGTGAAGATAAAAACTCCCAGGTTTAGAGTAAGAAATACATTTATACAATTGAATATGTGGGGACTGAAGAGCCACCATGTTTCATCAGGGCACTGGTGCTACTACAGTCCAACAGACTGTATCAGACGTCGCAGGCAGATGGTAGATGATTCATTATACTGAGTTTTAAAAATTCTCAATTAACGAGCAGTATTAAGAATTTCAAAACATCAGTAACTATCTTGCCATACTCATTCATCATCAACAAGAATAACCAGCTGTTTGAGAAGTCTGTGGTTTTTTTGGTGCCAGGAATCCAACTCTTGAACCTCATGCTTACCAGGCAGGTGCTTAAACCATTAAGCTAAATCCCCAGCCCTCTGGTTTCTGATTTTTTTTTCCTTTTTTTTTTTTTTGTATTTTTACCCGTACCAGGGATCGAGTTCACGACCACAGACTTGCAAGGCAGGCGCTTATGCCGCTGAGCTAAATCCCCAGCCCCCTGGTTTCTGATTTTTAAAAAATGTGGTAAAAGTAAATGTATTAATGAACACACTGAGCCATACAGAGATCCTTGGGACCAACACACAGGAAGCCAGTGGCCCAGTGAAAGCCAGACACAGAAGAGAGAAGCCATCTCCTTCTCCTCCTCTTCCTACTGTAATGACAGAATACATTAAAAGGGTGCAGGGCAGGGCACACAGGTTACCATCATAGCCTTAGCTCTTCTATGGAAAAGTCATTTGACTACTCTGTGTCTCAGTCCTGCACTTAGCAAAGTGTCAGCACCCACCTTTACCTCACTCATGGAGATGATGCACAGACAGGAAGATCTAGATGCAGACAATTACAAAACATGCCACTGAAGCCTTGTGCTTCATTAAAATATTCCCAACAGTCCATAAACTCTTGCCTCTCACCAATATTAAGAAGGTTGACAAAGACTAACTACAATTTATATAGTGTATGCAGCACAGCCCAAATTAATAGAATCCTGTACTACTTGCAGGGTGTGGTGGCACAAATCTATAATTCCAGCTGGGAGCTGAAGCAGAAGGATCATACTGAGTTCAAGGCCAACCTGAGTTACACAGCAAGACTGGTAAAAAAGAAAAGGGAAAAAAAACCCCAAAAAACAAAAACACAAATATTATACTACCTACAACTGTAAGTGGTATTTTCACATACTACAAACATTTAAGATACTAGTTTTGACCAGTACCAATCAACACCGAACTTGATAGACAAACTAAAGGACTTAACTATTGGGTCTCTTCATGACAGTTCACTTTACACTCATTGGGTGTATTTTTTATTTTTTCTCCTTTTCTCCTTTTATTTTTGGACCAAATTGGCTCTAAAGAGCCCCATTATTCTCTTTCCCTTTTTTCTTCCTTTTAATAAATATGAAACTTTGCCACTGATAAAAAAGGATTTAATCATGCCAGTTATACTACTTTTTTGCTAAAACCCCATGGATATCAGATGGACTATAAGACATATACTAGTATATCCCATTTGTTTGAGAGACACATGACATACATGCATGCCTCCCAAGTGTCATTTATTAGTTTTTACCCTTTTAAATGTTGGGTTAGTAGAATAACTAAAAATTCACCATTTTACTTACTTGTTTTAACTAGGTCTAAATTAAAATAGAAATCTTGTGAAATAAAATTGATGCACAGTTTTGTGTGAATGTAGTATTAAGAATAGTCAAAACTCCTCTAAATTGTTATGGCTCTAGATCTAACTGTTAAATAGATATCTGAGATTGCTAGCTTTAAGTAACAGATAAATGTTAATGACAAACTCATCCCTATGGGAATCATAAACCTTGCTGCATTTCCTTAAAACTTTACAATCACTGGTGTGCTCAAGGGAGCTAAATAACTGCTTTTATGCAAACTGTCTTGAAGAGCTTGGTGTCTAATATTATCAAGTATCATTTCATTCTTCTCACCCATTTGTCATTTGTTAATGTCTCTACCAGTTAGAGACATTTTTAGTACTTTCAAATTATAGTTCATCTCTTTCTTCTTTGTCTTTGTTTTTCTGTCTTCCTTTCCCCTTCCATTGTAGCATTTCACTCTTATATGTGATAGACTCATTTATTTTACTAATATTTTAATAAAGTGTCATATGTATTGCATTTTAAGGTATATGATAAAAGTTTAAAGGTATTTTACAAGAATTTTATAATTATCATTTAGGTTTACTAACATATTTACATGGTCCTTTTCAACTTCCACCCCATTTCATTGCTAACATTTTCAAAAGTGCTCTGGATACTCTGCCTGTGCTTTCTTAACACTTCTTGCTGTCTGTAATATGATTTCTGTCTTTTCCATACCACAAAAACTCATCAAAAAAAAAACCAACAGGCAGGTGTGGTGGCACAAGCCTGTAATACCGGGAAGGGGAGAGTGAGACAGGAGGATCTAAAATTCAAGCCCAGTTTGCACAATGTAGTGAGACAGGTCTCAAAATAAAATAATAAAGGAGTCAGGGGAATAGCTGAGTGCAAAGGACCTGAGATCAATTTTCTAATACTTCCAAAAACAAAAAAACAAAAACAAAACAATAACAAGAACAACAAAATTCCTTTGATTCCCATTCCACAGAGCTGACCATGGAGACAAAGTCCTTCTCTGAAGTTCCATACCAAGATTCTCAATTCTCTTTTTATTCCTGTAATTTTACTTCTTATTATAGTATCATATGCACAACATAAAACTGTTTGCTTTTAATTAATTTCTAAGGCACAGTTCCAAGGCAAGTCAGTTACATTCACCATATCCTGCCAGCCATCACCCCCAACTCTGCAGCCATCAGTAACTTCCTGTCACTTTTAAAGTTTTAACCTCTTCGTGTTCTATTTAAACATACCCTACATATCTGTTAAAAGTCTTCTGCAAATAAGATTTAAGTCTTCCTCAATTCAAACATCTGCTATTGTTTATTTTGTGGTTTTCTAAGACAGGTCCAGACTCATATGAAGCCCAAAAATAGCCTTGAACTCACAGTGAGTTCACCCTGCCTCAGCATTCAGAGTGCTGGGATTATAGGTGTGTGCCACCATGCCTGGTCTGATATTGTTTTTCTTTTTTGTTTTTGTGCTGAGGATTGACCCCAGGGCTTTCCACATGCTAGGCAAACTACCACTCTACCACTGAGCTACACCTCCAGCCCCTTGGGCTGCTCTTTATTTCCAGTCCTATCAAAGGCAGTAGTCATCTTTTGAATGCAGGAGCTCTATTGCTGGCTACTGTCCTAATGCTGACTGAAGAATGACTTTAGACATTCTTCCTAACTACGAGTCTGGCTTAGTATGCAAACAACAACAATAAACCTGTGACAAAATTATAATAATAGAATACTGATATATTACAGTAATTATTGCCCTTTTCAAAAAAATGCACTTTGGGGCTGGGGATTTAGCTCAGCGGCATAAGCACTTGTCTTGCAAGCAGGCGGTCATGAGTTCGATCCCCAGTACCGATACAAAGTTAAAAAAAAAAAAAAAAGAAAGAAAAAAGAAAAATGCACTTTGAGGTTGTAATGTTAAGTGAATTGGATCTGACACACAAGATTAAATATCGCATTGCTTTTCTTATATGAAAACCTCAAGTATAAATAATCGAGGGAAAAATAGAGAATAGGAGACAGGGAAATAGATTTTTGCAGTTGAGGACCAAGGGAAGAGATAGCAGCATAAAGAATGAAGGTGTATTCTGCACATGCACCAACGCTTCCTGGGAAAATTTAGAAAAGAATACACAGGGTCACGTGGAGGTCCTAAAAAATAAACAAAACTTTAAACAGGAAAATAACTTAGTCCTCTGCTTTTAATTAGCTAGAAAATATTCTTCTAGATAGTAACTATGGGCCTCTAGTTTATGTAAATAATTGTTTATTCACTATGGTTCAGAATTATGAACACTTAATTTGTAGTGACTTCCAGCAAAAGTAACTGAGCCCTACTACTGGGCTGTTTCTATCTGGGAGCCTTTTCACAGACTGTCGCTCCAGGCAGACAGAAGGTGCCCGCCTCCTGCGGGACCCTAAGAATGCGTGCACCTTCTGGTAGGTCCAGGTTTTGTAAGGGGGGGGGGCGCACGCTGGAACCGGAATCCTGACACTCCAAGAAAACCTGTAAAAGCTATTTCAGGTAAGGCTGGGCAACTGCACTGAATGGGAAGCGATCTCACGGAAAGGAGAGGGAGGTGGAGGGGACGCAGCAGCGACACAGGAAGGGGCAGGGACCAAGTCAGCGGACACAGAGGCGCCGGCAGAGAGCTACAGGAAGGTCCAGGCAGCTCAGCTCAGACACACAGACAGCTGGGCAGGGAAATGAGGACACAGAGCTTCTCACAGCTGGAACAGAACCGGCATTAATTAAACGATACCCTGATGAAAACTGAGTCCTTTAAAACAAACAAACAAACAAACAAACAAACAAACAACAAACACATCTTGCCTTCTGTTGATGTTTCTCAACACTAGATGGCAACGAACTGCAGGTTTAAGGACAAGTCAAAGGATCCTTGCACAAAACTGGGGTTCCCGTCCCAGTCCCAGTCTGGTCCCTGTTCCTGTCCCCGAGAAGACAGGAAAGGCCTCACCCTCACCCGGGAAGAGGTCGGTGCAGCGCATGAACATCTCCCAGTAGATGAGCCCCAGCGCGTACATGTCCACCTGCTTCAGTGCAGACTCGCAGTCCCGCAGGTTCACGGCTCCTTCCAGCACTTCTGGTGCCATGTATCTGATGGTTCCAACCTGACACGGTAAGAGTGAGTTTTCAGAAACCGAATAGAACTACATATAAAAAATTCGTAACACATAGCAAGTAAAAAACGTGCAACAATAGGTACACCATCTAATGTTCTTAAAATTAATAAAAATACATTTATGGCTACGAGAATGTAGACGAAAAGGTCAGGAAGGGTGTGTTTGAATTTGGAAGGTGATTACCAGTTGGCAGTAATCAAACGTGGTTAATCTGGCTATTCTGATCTCAAACCTGGTAATTTTCTCCTTCAAAAATCACTTCCTACACACATCTTCCTAATGTCTGTTGAAGTGAGTCAGAACCACAGCAGTCTGTAAAGCAGACAGCGAACACGCACCTCACTGATGGCTGCATTGTCCTCCTCCCCTGGTCGCACCAGTCTGTTTCCTGTCAGCCTCATGGATAACCCAAAGTCACTGATGACACAGGTTCCATCATTTTTCACCAGGACATTTCTGCTGTTTAAATCTCGATGGGAAATTGCGGGTTTATAATGATCTGTTTGGACAATTTCAAAAATTTACTTATGCTTAAATAGAATTATAGTGCAAAAAATGAACAGGCAAGTAAAAGAAACTGCATAAATACAGAGTATAATTTTTGCTGCCCGTTAGATTTCTAATAATAAAAAGGACACAAGAAACCAAAGTTTCAGCTCATCATTTTCTAACATATTTTAACACAACTCCTATTGTGTGAATAGCTAATTAAGCATTAACCTTTAAGCTGAAATGAACAGCAAATAAACTCCAGCTCCTAATTCTAAAACAAATTTGTTTCTCTTCATTTCTAGGTCAGCCAAAGGAGACAATATAGAAGGAAAAAGTATCTAGCATAAACACACACATACATACACACACAGAGCTCATCTGAAACAAGTATCACTGAAAAACTTACGTGGTTCTCTAAGTTTTACATAAATCTTATACCACTCTACATCTTAATGAATCAAATCTGTGATGGGTCATCTCATTTCTAGCAGAGGTTTATTTATTTTATGAAATTTTTTAGTTCCAGACAGGATCTCACCAGGTAGTTCAGGCTAGCTTGAAACTTACTATGTATAGCCTGGGCTGGCCTTGAATTCATGGTGATCTTTCTGCTTTGGCCTTCTGAGTGCTGGAATTACAGCCATGTGCTACCATGCCTAGCCTATTTTTTATTTTTTGAGACAGGCTCTATGTAGTCCAGGCTGGCCTTGAACTCACTATGTGCCCCACGTTGGCCTCAAATTTGACATGATTCTCGCCTCTCAGCCTCCAACCACTCGGATTACAGGTGTGGGCTACCATGCCCAGCACATGCCAGTAGCTTAGACAGATCTCTAAGCCCAATTCGACTCTATTTCTAATGATGCGATGAAAGAACAAGTGGAGATGGTATAAGGTATGAAGATTTCTTCTCAGATTTTACAAAAGAGAAGCAGTGTTACATTCATTACTGCCTGATTAGCCTTGTCATTGGAGTAATTAGCTCCATGAAAGAATCTGAACATGTTTCAACTGAAATTAAAAGATTTAACAAAGTATAAATTCTTGGTGAGGAACACACTAAATCTAACCTAAGCCCTTCACCTAAAATATTACATAATTTTTTCATTCTCTCAAAGGAACCAACCTGATAAACCTTATATGAAACAAAAGCATTTCATTTCTAGAAATGAAAAAAAAGTCTATGAGCAGAATTTTAAGAATTTAAAACATTTTCCTGAGAATAAAAGAAATAATCAGAACTAAATTAATAAACAGTTCATTGACTATTGTATTCAGGAGCAGAATCAGTACTTAGATGTCATTAATAAGCATTCAAATGCAATTTAACCAACAATGAAACTATAGGCAGAGGATAATGATTCCTTTAATATAAAATATTAAAGCAATGGAACAATGAAAACAGTAAGAGTTAACAAGTTTATCTAGGAGTTGATTTCTTTCTCATTTTATTCCTTCTTTACTTCCCGTTCCAATCTTCAAAAGCTTGTATTTAACTTGGCTTCCACTTGATTCCTGTAAGAGCTATACTTCTTATCCTAGACAAAGCCACAATATACCTAACATGGCATAATATTGAGCTAATATTTATACATAAAAATGTATGGAAATATTAGAAAATATCTGTATACTAACTCAAATCAGTATTTAAAAATCTAAGAGTCAAGGAAAGCTAAACTGATGGCTCAAGGTCACTATATTTTCTGGTGTTCCAAAAAAAGAAAAAAGGAAAGAAAGATAAGGAGAGAGTAAGTTAGGGAAGAAGGCAGCGTTGGGGGACAAAAACCAAGAAGAGTCAAGTCAGGACTCAACATCAGTAGGAAGGACAGAGCTACAGATGGTCCTTCTCCTTTGACGCTCCCCTCAGTACTCATTCTGATCTTTCTTATTTGAATGAATAAGGTTGAGGTCAAAACAGACAAGCACCTCTTCCTTGGGTGCAGCACTACACTATGCAAGTCTGCCAAAGTACAGCACTCCATGCTGCTGTGTTCATTAGACACACACAGAACAGAGACCTGGAAGATAAACACTAAACTACTTAGTAATTTTTTGAAGTCTGAGTGACTTATGTATTATTTTTTGTGTGTCAGATTTTTGTCTAGTAGTGAGCATGCACTGCTATCATAAGAGAAAATTCACAGGGAGAACTACTTACACATAAATAGCATCAACTTTTCTTATTCTGAAGCAAAAAAATGGCTGAATAAGTATACCAGAATTACATCTTATTACTGAATTTGTGAACAACAGTTTAATCTGATGATACTGGCAAGTGTAATTTTCTAAAAGAACTTTAAATATTTAAAATTGTATAGTGTACTTGGAAACATTTTCTAAGAACTTAGTCAAAACCATAAATTCAAACAGCTACTATAATCGTATGAAGTTTTAAAAAAGGTAACTGGTGATACTATTAGCTAATTTTTTAGAATACTAGCTGTGTTCAAATAAAAAATTTCAGCCAAAGTTTGACTTGAAACACTGCTGAATCATGCAAATCTTGAAAAGCGAGCTGGGATAGTATTCTAAGTTCTGTGCTAAGCTAGCTTTTAAAAGGGATAATACTTAGCATGCAGGAACAGAGCCCAACGGTTAATGTGCTAAAGCACTAAAGCAAGCACATCAAGTTGCTGACATAAGTAATAACTCAGGTCAATTCTGTACTCAGGAAAAGCAAGATGTTAAGATAAATGAACTGATAAATTATTTAGAAGATATTATTTATATATGAAGCATCCGTTAGAAAAGATGATCCATGCTATTATGTAATGGAACAAAGACCTAAGAAAGTATCCATTAAAGTTCTCTTTACTAAAGAAGTCAAGGAGACTGAAAAAACAATGTCAGGGCTACACAATGATAAGAAAATGTGGTAAGGCACAAAAGCTTGAGAAAGCAGAATTACCATAGACATGCTAACTTAGGGGTGTCTGTGATGTGAGGTGTATACTAAAACAAAGTGAGAAAGGAAATTTTTTTTTTTTAAAAGATGCTTTGAACCACTAGCAAAAATGGACATGAAAGCTGAGCAAGACTAGTTATGAAGGAATGGAATTCTCCCTCTCCTACTCAGTAAGTGAATCCAACATTATCAGAGGTAACAAGGCACTCAGCACAACAACATATTCTATTTCCAGGCTCTTATGTGGACTGGTTCTGGGAAATGACATACGAACAAGACAAGTTCTGGGAAACATAACATAAGAGCAGAAGGACAAGAGTGGGATTTCTGGAGGTAAAGGGGAATAATTCTTTTTACTTTCTTTTTTTTCTCTCTGCCTCACAGCATAATAGAAAATGAGCTAACAGTGAAAATGAAGGCCACATATAAAAGTTGGGAAAAGAAATATAGGTGTGTTGTAGCCTGCTAAATGATATAGGCACCTAGAGGATTTTAGATTCTTTATGGTACAAGGGGTTGAACTAGGGGGCTCATGTATGCTAGGCAAGTGTTCTATCACAGAGCTTGACCCCAGAATCTTTAGATTCTTACATGAGAAAGAAAACATTTTGTTCTTACTGAAACCACTGTTAACCAAGCCTAATGCTATTTGACAGAAAGCCATGGCTGGTAAAAATATACATTTGGGCTTTACAAAGACCAACAATGGGATAAAGACAAATGTGATGCTGACACTAAGGATGAAGTGAGGTATGGTGATGCACATCTGTAATCCCAGCACGAGGCTCAGGGAAAAGGACCTGCAAGTTTGAGCGCAGGCTGAGTAACTCAGTGACTCAGTGATAAAGCTCTGTCTGTCTGTCTGTCTCAGAGTAAAACATAATGGGGATGTAGCTGAGAGATACACAATGTACTTGAGCTCAGTCCTGCAGTACTGCCCAAAACAAAAGCAAATACAAAATTTAAAGAGGTGATTACGCAACAAAATAAATGCAAGGAAATATAGTCCAGCTAAAAGATTCTTAACCTAGGCTTCATAAAGAGACTTCCTGGTGTCTAATAACCCCTAGAATGTAAGGGTTTTTTTTCTTCCTTCCTCAAGTACTTGGTAGTAAACCCAGGATTTTCACACCAAGCTATAGCCCCAACTTTTTAAGACAAACTTTCACTAAATTGACTAGGCTGGGACTGAATTTGTAATCTACCAGCCTCAGCCTTCCAGAGCTGGGAATACAGGCACGGACCACTGCACCCTGCTAAAAGAATATTTTTAATTTTTTTTTTCTATTTTTTCAGTGCTGAGCCCTAAACCCAAGGTTATGTCAATGGTAGACAAGGGCCCTTCCTCTTAAGTTATATGCCAGTATATTTTTGGAGACTGTTCAGAGCTTTATGGGATTCATGACCCTTCTGGAGTCTTTCTTCCTGTTGTATTTCAAATATGGTTACTCAGGCTAGATCTTAAAAAAAAAAAAAAAAAACTGGTAATATAATCTCTAGTTATATATATTATCCTTTTACTTGGAAGATATAATTAAAATATCCCCTTGTGAACTGTGAACCCACCTGAGTGTGATTCATCTTTTTTACTATCTTACCTCCTCGTGGTAATTCTGTGTGAAGGTAAGCCAGTCCTCTAGTCACAGAATGAGCCAGACGGCAAGAGCTTACCCAGTCACTTGTATGGAGACTTAAATACTTGCACAGAGACCCCTACATGGAGGAAAAAATGTAAAACAAACAAACAAACAAAACAAGGAATTAATTTAACAGGAAGAGGTAAGTTTGCGATCTTGTTGAGGATTTGCATAGGCTAGAATTACATGCATACTTAATGAATATTACAGAATCTTGAAAAAGGCAGCAATGTGTATCTGTGTGAAGAATGAAAAGGGAAAAATAATTTTAAAAAAGAAAAGGGGATAGAAAGGGAAGAATTTAAACATCGATTTTTATGTCTCCAATATTAAAAATTATGAACGAGGTTATTTCTTTTTAAATGCTTTTTGATCAAATAAACTGGGAAAAATGTATCTTTTATCAGAACAAATACAAACTACTTTTTATAATAGTTTTCAAGCAAAAAAACAAAAGGCTTTTATAAATACAGTAGCTCTCTGTATCTGTGAGTTCCATATATATGGATTCAACTAACCCCGATAAAAAAATTACCAAGAGCTGTGCACTATAGTTCAATGGATAGAGTGCCTGTCTAGCTGTCTCACAAAAACAACAAAAACAATCCATATTGAACATATACACACTATTTTTTCTTATAAATAAACTAGATAATGTGCCTGAATTACATGAAAAAATACCATTCAACACTTCATGTGAGCAACTCAAACACGTGTGTGTGTGTGTGTGTGTGTGTGTGTGTGTGTAGGTGGGGGGAGCTGTCCTGGAAGCAGTCCCCAAGGAGACTGAGGGTAAATGTATACATGGATCTGTGATACTGAAACTGTTTATTCGCGAACTGCTCCTAGGCGCTGATGAGGAGAGGAGCTTCACACTAGAATGAATTGTCAACCAGAGCTCTGTTTCATTCACTGAGAAAACCTCGTTACCAAAATACATAAGAGGAAAGGAGGTAAAGGGAAAGGAAAAGAACAAGAACTGAATAAACAATATAATTAGTGATGAATTTGATTCAAATTCTGGCATGAGCTGCTTATCTCATTGCAGACCAATAATAACCAGACCATGGACCAGCAATGTTCTTTATTTCAGAGGTCTTTCTGACAGTATGGCTGACAGTTAATACAAATGAGTCTATTTTCATGAAGCACTTACACTGGGATAATACTCCATCACAAGCAAGTATTCCATGCGCCCATCTGCAGTGACTCTCTCATCTCCAACTATAAAGCGAGCAATGTTGTCATGCTCCATCAAAGGCACTCGGTAAATATTTTTTTCATTGATAAAATTCTGACGATTTGCAAAAGAAAACACTTTTACAGCAACTGGACGCTCATCCAAGGAACCTTTATATACTGCTCCATATCGACCTCGGCCAATCAGCTGTAAGTTTGTTTTTAAAAAGGCAAAGTATTAATTCATATAAAAATTGAACAATTCAACTTACAAAATATGAAATACAAATTCATATAATATGCCACAGCTCTCTACTGCTTGGAGTTTAATACACTATCAAGAAACCAGCACACTCTGTAGCTGGTATGACTGAGGAAGCTCCACTTAGCATGCACACAAATAACATCTATAAACTTTGGACAAAATTAAAAATAAACAAAAATAATCTAAAGGCATTGAAGAATAAACAAAGTCAGATTTTTTTTTTTGAATCAAGAGTCTTGCTGTGGAAAAAAAAAAAAAAAAAGAGTCTTGCTGTGGAGTTCTGCCTAGCCTTAAACTAACCATGTAGCCTAGATTGGCTTTGAAATTTAGAGCAATCCTCCAGCCTCAGCCTCCTGAGTGCTGGGATTACAGGTATAAGTGACCACATGTGGCACAAAGGTAACTCTAAAAGGCAATTCTTAGAAGAAAATGGCATGGGGTGAGATACTTATTTTTATGGTTTTTAGCTTGAAGGCAGACTGAAATTAGCCCTGTGCAATGGCGCTAAATGGTGAGAGAAAAACTGTTAATTTTTTCTCTGGAAATCAGAGGATACAACAGGAAGCACCAAGAACTGCTGAAAGGTAAGGGGCAAATCCTGAAAGAGAAAGCTCAAAAATGGAAAACTCAATGAGCACATGGGATACACCCTTTTTTTGGGAGGTGGGGTGGGGTGGTGGTGTACCAGGGATCAAACTCATGACCTTGCACTTGCAGGTAGATGCTTATGTTACTGAGCTAAATCCCCAGCCATCTAACTAATGTTAAAGTAATTGAGTGGAGACTTGTAACAAGTTGGCAGTATGCATACAACAAAGGTCATTGTTTACTAAAATAAGCAACAAGTTATTGAGATACACTTTAGAAAAACAGAACCGAGTCCAGGGTCTCCACAATACAATAATATCCACAAAATCTAGGATACAATTTAAGAATAACTCAGTACACAAAAACCCAGCAAAATGTAACCCATTTTCTTCAGTTTTGGCTTGTGAGGATTCTTCTTCCATTTTATTCAAATAGACTAAGGATTTACCATTATTTATTTAAAGATATTTTACGATCATTATTTCTAGATTAAAATTTAACATACAGACTGTCCTTTTGAAGAGTTTTATCAAGCCAGGTATGGTGGGACACACTGTAATCACATTGGTCTGGGATTGAGGCAGGAGAATCACAAGTTCAAGCTCAGAACAGGGAATTTAGTGAATTACAAGGTTTTATCTCAAATAAAAAATTAAAAAAGACTGAGAATGTAGCTCAGTGAGAAAGCCCTGGCTTCAATTCAATCCCCCAAAACATGTTCCATATAAAACACACACACACACACACACACACACACACACACACACACACACACACAAAATTGTGACAGAGTATATTGCTGTAATATAGTTAGGGTATAGCTAAATTAGCACTGTTAGAAACGTTTCACTCCAGCTGGGGATTTAGCTCAGCGGCATAAGCGCCTGCCTTTCAAGTGTGTGGTTGTGAGTTCGATCCCTGGTACCAATAAAAACAAAGAAGACAAAAAAAAAAAAAAGAAACGTTTCATTCAATCCTATGTAAAGTCCCATGTTTTGTTTTGTTTTGTTTTGTTTTTTTCTTTTTCCTTTTTATTGGTACCAGAGATCGAACTCATGACTGCCTGCTTGCAAGGCAGGCGCTTATGCCCCTGAGCTAAATGCCCAGCCCCATAAAGTCCCATGTTTTAACTGGCATTTCTTTCAATCCAGTAAACCGGATATCTCATTGTATGTTAGCCACACGTATTTCATTTGTGAAATGGCCATTCATCTTTTGTTCCTCTTTATGAACTGCTCTGTCACACTGATTTATAACAGTTATTCATCAATTCTTTCCTACATATTGGAGTTTTTACTTTTCAAATTTGGCTCTTAATTTTTGTTCTTTGTATTTTCCGCCTCCACCCCCAAACTGAGATAGTTCTTAGTTTTATACAGGCAAATCTATTGTATATATTACTTAATGGTTCCTAGATTAGGGGTCATAGAGACTAACCCATTCCTAATAAGGATCATAAAAATACTTATTACAGTAAAAGTTTTAAAACAGCCTTAGAGATGTTATCAAATGAAAATTAGGAAACTTGATAACAACTAGAATAGTCCTCAACCAAAGAACAACCTTACCTCCAACAGCTTCAAATTATCTAAGTCAAGAGTGGGCTCTGATGCTGCTGCCTCCATCATGTTGATACTGTGCAGACCTTGTTTACGGTCTCCTATGGGAAAGGGAAAAGGAATGATTGCTGTGTGACTTTCTTGTAACTATTTTTTTTTTTTTTTATCTTTTTCCTTTTTATCGGTACCAGGGATCGAACTCACGACTGCCTGCTTGCAAGGCAGGCGCTTATGCCGCTGAGCTAAATCCCCAGCCCCCGTGACTTTCTTAAAATGATGATCTTGATTGTACTTCTTAATGCTTCCACTATGGCTTAATTTAAAACTCTTTTTTGGGTACCAGGGATCGAACATGTGACTTTGTTCTTGCCAGGCAGGTGCTTATGCTACTGAGCTAAATCCTTGGCCCAAAGAAATCTGTAACTGGTTGTGATCAATTAGTTGTAAACACCATTGCACTAGGACCAGCCAAAATGTACTATATTTTAAAGAAACTGGTTGGAGAGTTGAGAAACTTCATAGTGAAGGTAGGTATTCATTTTGAGTATGACTGGCTTTTTTTCTGTTATTGGGGATTGAACTCACAGGGACACTTATCAGGCAGGCACTTAGACCGCTGAGTTAAATCCCCTGGCAAAACTCTTAAGAAACACTGTAAAAGCTTTAAGAAGATTTTATTAAAATTACTCAAATCAATGAGTGGGCATTGATTTCCTAAACAACCCATTAAACCTATAGTTTACCAGTGGTGCCCGTGATTTGCTTCAAAATAATTCAGAGCCTAGAAGGGGTAAAGAGTAGGGATTTAGATAAAACAGTATTGCTACAAGTAATAACTGCTGAAGCTGGGTAACAGGTATTTTATGTAAGTGTCAAACTTTTTCCAAGAAGCAAGGGGGGAAATTTTGCTGAAGAATAGGAGCTATTATAGCCCAAAGATATTTCATTTGGTGTTTTTAAAAATTCAACATAAGAGATTTTATAAAGAAAATAAAATTTTATTAAATGGCATGATTCACAAGTTTCAGAACAAAGAGTGTATTTTCGTAAAATTTTACCTGCCACCATTCGGTACCCGAAGCATAAGGCAACTATCAAAACAGCTAATACAGAGACTGATGCCAAAGCAATGATTATCGTCTCATCTCGATTAAATGAATGAGGTGGACCTACAAAAAAACAAATTTTAAAATGCTGTCATTTTTAAAGTACCAAGGATTGAACTCACAATTTCGTACTTGTCAGGAAGGAATTTACAGTGCTGAGACAGCCCAAAGGCTATCTAGTAAAATCAGTTTGCATGAAAGAAAAAATAAACTTGGAATAATTATATACTATGTATACTTTAATCATATAGATTATCTTACACAGACCTGAAAAAAAACATGTTAGATTTGATCTGTATCATGAAATAGTATAGGCAACAGTATAATACCAAACAGCAAAGTCTTTAGAATCACATTAGGTTTTAAGTCCTAGGTCTGCAATATCACTCTTCCAGTGGGATACAGCAAATCATTTACTTTTCTGTACTTCTGTTTCCTGATTTGTAAAAATAGTCCTCTGTCCCTCACAAGTCAATTGTGAGGCATAGATGGAAGCCTCAATGCTTAGCAAAGTGTCACAAGTATACCACCTATGCAATAAATAGTACATAACATTCATCAACACTGTTATTATTAAGAACATGGCTTTGCACGTAGTTAAATCTGAATCAGACCTGAGGCTTGGAACTACTCATTGCATGGCGTTGAGAAAATTTCTTCACCTGTCTGAGCCTACATTTACTCACCTGCAGAAAAGGATCATCACTTAGCTAAATCACAGGGCTATGAACATAGAAACATTTTATGTGTTAGTTCCATTCCATAAGTAAAATCATATCTAAAGGTAATAGATACCTTTTAGGATGGGTAGCTACAAACTTGTGCATCTGGAAGATAGCAAGTATAACAGTAAAGATATAATAACTCTGACTCGTGATAGGTAGAAAACCTAAATGGACCTGCTTTGAAAAGCAATAGAATAACTAGATCAAATTAGTGTGTATTCAAGAAAAAACCTTAGCACAAAATACATAATGTATGGCTTACAAATAAGTTGTCTAAATGGAGTGAATTACCCTATGAAGTAGCTATATATTATTTTACTAGGGTATTTATGTAATGTTGGTTATACTGACTAGAAGTGATGCTTTGATGACTACTAATATCCTTATTTAATCATTCTATTTTGTTGAAATTCAGCATACTGTATTTTAAATTTTTCTTAATTCAGACATTACAATTACATATGGTATTCAAACTAGAAGTTTCTATGATAAAGAAAGAAGTGTGTATAGAAGAGTGCCTGTGATATGTATGTCTGTTCTAAATGACTTTAGTTTACACAAATTAACCAGTTACATATTAAAATTTCAAAATGATATTTTTATACAAGAATCTGTTGAAGCACTGAAGTACTTTTAATTTGTAGGACATTTATTAGCTATAGATTTTAACATACTGGTAATTGTATCTACTTTTAACATATAAACTATACGCAGCAAAGCTACATATAAAAACTTATCTTACTACAATGAGATATGAGAATGGTAAAGATTTTCCTTTAAAAGAAGAAAATAAAAAGTATTAGCATGAATTCTGAGAAACAAACTTTCATATATTTCTGATGGGGATAGGATATGAATGCAGGGACAGTAGAAAACAATGAGGGACACTCAAAAAGTTGAAAAGAATTTTTATAAGGTCCAGCAATACATTCCATTTCCCTAAGATCTGGAAATATATTCCTAGGCACATGCCCAAAGGAACTGAAAACAAGAGCGAGAACAAGAACTTTTACATGAATGCTCTTAGCATCACTATGACAAGTAGAAGCAACACTCATGTCTATATACTCACAAATGGATAAAAAATGTGGTATATCACAAACAAAAGTGATATGCTAAGGTTACAAATTCTATAACTATTTATGTAAAACATTTAGAGCAGGCAAATCTATAGAGACACTAAGCAGAATAAGAATTGCTAGGGAAGCAGGAAGAGGGAAAAACGAGTGACTACTTATTGCATATTGAGTTTCCCTTGTGGGCTGATGAAAATGTTTTGGAAGTGCATGGAAGTGATGGCTTGCACCAACATTTTATGTGCTTATTTATCATTAACACACACTAGCAAGGAGTAGTCTGCCCTTATTCATGGGGATACATTCCAAGATGCCTTGTGTATGGTGCCCAAACCCTGTAGGAGCCCTGAACCTTACACAGCTGGCTCTTATTAATTGTAGGCTCTGCAGCTGTACATTAACCAACCATAGGCCCAAAATAACTTGAAAATAAATCCAGACATTTTCAGAAGGTAAAAGCTCATTACACTACTTGGAATGGTGCACAGTGTTTATTCTGAAATTTTCCATTTAATATTTCTGGGCCATAGTTGACCACAGGTACTTCAGAAAGTAAAACTGGGGGTTGTGGATTTAGCTCAGCGGCATAAGTGCCTGCTTGGCAAGTGCGAAGTCGCGAGTTCGATCCCCAGTACCACCAAAAAAAAAGTGAAACTGGATAAATGGAAATTGCATTTTGTTTTTGTCTTTTGGAAACAAAATTTTAAGGAAAGAAATGTAATGTTTAGGTATTTCTCAAAGAAAGAACAAAAAGCATAGTATTTTACTTTAAATATCAGCAAAAAACGTATTTTATTTTATTAGGGTCAAAAGAGAAAAAAAGGTTAGAGATGTAAAATGAAGGAAAAAAAGAAACATGGAGGTAACAAAAGAAAGTGTTATTTAAGATAAAATAGAGATTAAAAAAAGATAAAATAGAGGAGTTTGGAGAAAAGAAATGAAAAGAAAGACCAAGAGTGATCATAGTGATGGTGGCTTTTTTTTTGGGGGGGGGTACCAGGGATTGAACTCATGACCTCATGTTTATCAGGCAGGCGATGATGGTGACTTTGAGACAGCCTGTTGTCACTTCAGCATTGTGTTAGAGCAGCAGATATCAAAGAAAATTTTGCCTATTATTAAATCACTCTGGAATTTGACTCTGCAATTTCATCTTGCCTATTACTTTTGATAGATTTTATTATATTAGTTATAGATTTACAGAAAAACTGCCCAGGAAGTTATTGTATTCCCATTACCTACTCATTCCCCCATCTCATTTTCTCCTGCTATTATTCATCACACTGTGTGCCAGGACTGAATTGTGTGCTCTCCCAACATTCATATACTAAAGCCACAACCCTCTCGGGGCCAAGGTCTCTGGGAGATGATTAGGTGCAGAAGGTAAGGGCCCGGATGACAGGACTGCTGCCTTAGAAATGGAGATACCCAAGAGGGTTTTCTCCCTGGTTCTTCCTCCCTCCCAACCTTCTTCCTGCTCCTTTTCTTCCACCATGTGAGACACGGAAGGTGGCCATACCCTACCAGGAAAAGACACACCCCCTTCCCCAGGACCTTACCCAGTATCACCTTATCTTGGAATCCCAGCCCAGAAATGCATTTCATTTATCTTCAGTGAAGCACTGGGTACAGAATACCACTGCAGATATAAGGTTGAATATAACACTGGCAAGAAAATACAGAGAATCTGGGAACTCTAGACAGAGAGTTTACAATTACCAGCCAATGCTTTTTCAACAGGCTTTCACCAAGAGCTGTGTTCACTGGTGCCGGTTAATTGTGAATGGAGCAGAACAGGAGAACTAAGAAAACACCTTGAGATGTAGGCATGCAGCAACTTAAAGTCTGTGGCCAGGCGCAGGAGAACTAAGACAATCACTGCAAGGCTGCGCTGAGAAAAGAGCTGAAAGTGCTTTTCCTGAAATGCCATGGCACAGGTTTACTAAATCCTGAGAGCAACACTGAGCTGAGAGAAATTCTCCAGGCACCCAAATTCCAAACTTTGCACTCAAATCATCTGAAGTTGATGCTATATCAGATCAAACTAAGGCAACAATACAGCCCAGACACAGCTCAGATATAGATTGTATCCTTTCATCTGCCCCTTTTTAAAAGCTTGACAAAAACAGCAAATCTTTTTCTCAACATAAGTATTATTTACCTTAGACTCCACTCAGATTTTATCTGCAATGTTCAGTATTCAACCAAAAATAAAAAGACATGTAAGGAAGCAAGAAAATACAGGTGTATGATTAAGACAGAAAATAGTTAACAGACCCAGGAATGACACAGCAACATCTCAGACAGTGACATTACCAGGGACTTCAAAGTAACTAAGATAAATACATTAAAGAATACAGTGAAAGAGTGAGTCACATTAATTCAATAGAGGGTCAATGTGAGATGAGAGGGAATAGCATGAAGTGGAAAAGCTGGAAATAAAACATACAATAACAGACTGAGGGAGGTCTTCTGATGCAATTGTTAGAAGGGAAGATACAATTGACAAAAGAATCATTGGACCTGAATGCATATAAACAGAAACTACCTATACTAAATTACAAAGTGAAAGAGGGAAAAAAAAATTGAAAATGGCCTAATATACCCTATACAGCACCAGAGTCATGTAGGAGAAAAATATGAAATAGTGTACAATAAATCTTAAGAGTTAAGGCATGTTTCCAAAACTGGTGAGAGAAATCAATTCACAATTATCCAACACCAAACACCCAAAAGGGTAACTGCAAAGAAAATCTTACCTATATACGTTAAAATCAAACTGTGAAAAACCAAAGATAAAGTGGTGCACTTTCTCAACCTACATACAGCACGTTAAGTAAGACTGGAATTACTGTATCCAATCTCATAATCTTCTTTTCACTTAGGACTGCCATATTATCATTAAGAACCTTTAAAGACACAATTTATGTTACTTATACTTTTTTGCCTTGTGAATATTTCATTGAATAATTAAAAAATCTTCTACCTGATCACTAAATTGACTTTCATTGATTTCACAAAAAAGATATGTTTAAATCTTCCAGTATTATTAAGAATTTATCTCTTTCCTCTTTTGTTTTGGTTCATCCATTTTAAGACTATATTACTAAATGTGTAGAAATTTTAAGTAGTTAAACAAAAAAAGACAAGTGTGGTCTGTGCTAGTCTTGAACTCTAGGTGATTCTTCTGCCACAACCTCCTGAGTGCTAGGATTGATTACAGGCTTGTCCCACCCAAAACCAGCTGAAATAGTTTTATTTT